GATTGGTTCCTGTGGCGGAAACGGGTGGGAATTAGTGGCTCTAGAAGAATGTATCACCTAATCACCAACGTCTGTACTCTCACTACCCATTGTACCTTTTTGTGTAAACTAAATAAAATGACCTGTCTTACATATTCGTGTTTAAGATCGATGCGGGAGGGCAACATAGGGTTACAGTAGGTAATGTAAAATACATACAGTACCTCAACACCCAGTAATACATTACACTATACACGTACATAAATAGATCCGATAGATGTTCTGATAATCCCATACATTGTTTGCCCTCCCCCCCCCCAGTAAGTCCTTCTGTAACAAAAAAAAAACCTGTCTTCCAGTAAAAAAAAAAAGAGCCAGTGGTGTATTGCGGTTTAATTGGTGTGTAATGCAGTGTTGAGTGGTCAACCCGTCCTCCTAAAAATAACGTCACTTTTGGCTGGTATGCGCACTATGGCCAAATTTGGACGTAATTTGAAATTAAATCGACTCACAAAAGTGACGTACTGTTCCGTTTTCTGTTTGGGTCGTCCGGCTTACTCGGCAATGTTAGTAAAGACAACTTTCCATTAATGTTTTTCATAACGGTTTGAAACTTTATGAGAATTTCCTGCCCACCTAACCTATCAGAGGACCCTTAACTTACTGTTGTTAAAAAAAAAATCCCAAATTTATTTTCATTTTTTTTCATTTTCAAATTACGTCCATATTCGGCCATACGGGTAAACGGCCAAAAGCGACGTTCTTTTTAAGAGGACAGGTTGAGTGGTAGCCGTGTTGCCTGGCGTGGTGGGCTGGGTACAACATAGGCTTGCCAGGGAGAGGAAATATGGTCGTGGCGTATGCTCATTTGGCGAAGGTGTGAGGGGGGGGGGGGAGGGGAGGGGTTAGTGGCTAGAAGCGTGCGCACATCCCTCCTCCCCCTGTCCCTCCCCCCCTGTCCCTCCCCCACTCCTTCACCCCCGCTCCTTCACCCTCGCACTCTCCCCCCCTCATTCCTTTACCCACTCCCCCGCTCATTCCATTACCCACTCCCCCCCTCATTCCATTACCCACTCCCCCCCTCATTCCTTTGCCCACTCCCCCCTCATTCCTTTACCTACTCCCCCCTCATTCCTTCACCCACTCCCCCCCCACTCATTCCTTTACCCACTCCCCCCCCCTCATTCCTTTACCCACTCCCCCCCTCATTCCTTTACCCACTCCCCCCCTCATTCCTTTACCCACTCCTCCCCCTCATTCCTTTACCCACTCCTCCCCCTCATTCCTTTACCCACTCCCCCCCCTCATTCCTTTACCCACTCCCCCCCTCATTCCTTTACCCACTCCCCCCCTCATTCCTTTACCCACTCCCCCCCTCATTCCTTTACCCACTCCCCCCCTCATTCCTTTACCCACTCCCCCCCTCATTCCTTTACCCACTCCCCCCCTCATTCCTTTACCCACTCCCCCCTCATTCCTTTACCCACTCCCCCCTCATTCCTTAACCCACTCCCCCCTCATTCCTTAACCCACTCCCCCCTCATTCCTTAACCCACTCCCCCCTCATTCCTTAACCCACTCCCCCCTCATTCCTTAACCCACTCCCCCCTCATTCCTTAACCCACTCCTCCCCCACTCCGGTATCTTAGCGTAACGCTTTTTAACATCCAGGGAAATTACAGAAAAAGGAGGAGTGGGGGGAATGCTCTAGCCTTAGGTTGCTACTGAACACATCACTAGATATTGTTGCCTTGTAATGTAGTAACCTTATACCACCTGGATGCTTGCGGGGGTTGAGCTTTGGCTCTTTGGTCCCGCCTCTCAATTGTCAGTCAACTGGTGTACAGATTCCTGAGCCTACTGGACTCTATCATATCTACATTTGAAACTTTGTATGGAGTCTGCCTCCACCACATCACTGCCTAGTGCATTCCATCTTGTACACGTGCCTGCTTGCTAATGCTACTACAGATATTCTATATGTGCATGGAAGTCTGGATGTGAGGTGATAAGGGGTCTGGTTGTGGGGTGGTGGTGGGTGAGGGCTGGATGTGGGGTGGTGGTGGGTGAGGGCTGGATGTGGGGTGGTGGTGGGTGAGGGCTGGATGTGGGGTGGTGGTGGGTGAGAGCTGGATGTGGGGTGGTGGTGGGTGAGGGCTGGATGTGGGGTGGTGGTGGGTGAGAGCTGGATGTGGGGTGGTGGTGGGTGAGGGCTGGATGTGGGGTGGTGGTGGGTGAGAGCTGGATGTGGGGTGGTGGTGGGTGAGAGCTGGATGTGGGGTGGGGGTGTTGTGTGGTGGTGGCCCCTCGTACAAATATTGTACAGTAGTATAGTGTACAGTTGTATTTTGTGGAGGGAGGACAGGGTTATGGTAGAAGATGTAGGATATGGTAGAGTTGTAAGACTTTGTATTATTTCCTAACCATCTGGAGCTCCACTACACATCCTGGCTCGTCTCCAGCTGCCTCAACAATGACCTAGGTGTTACATCATCATAGACCTCTTGATAATCTAACCACTGCCCGAGTTTCCTCGTGCACCGCAACCATGTGTCAGTCTCCGTCACAGCTCACACCTGCTCACTTTTCTCTTCCCTGATCAGACTATTCATAGTAAATAGTTTTAATGCATATTTGATTAATGAGTCATTGAACTTTATGGTTCTAGCTGTTACTCATGCTTATCCTTCCCCCCTCCCTCTTCCCACTCTCAAATTAATGTTCCTGTAAATGAGTGGAACTCGTGACCATAAAATGGCTATGTTTCGACAAGATGTAAGCTGGGCCATGACGTAACATGTCTAGTGCCGAGTTTTCTGCCCCTTTCCCCTCACGTTCCCCCACTTAATGCCTGCCTTATCATGTTCCCCAAAGTTACCTTCACCTGTCCCCTCCCACATTCATTCTCATGATTCCTATATTCACCACCATTCTGTTTAACATCCCTACATTTGCTTTATTGTATATTGTACTATACTTTATACAGTATATTGTTTGCTGTGGTAGGCGGGATGGATGGATGTAGGTGTGCAGATGTTGTGTTGTATATATAAAGAGGGAGCATGACCTAGTGAATGGGTATATTTGATGCATTTGGAGATGGAAATTAGTGTTTGTACTCACCTGTATGTGGTTGCAAGGTTGAGTTTCAGCTCCTGGCACTTATTGCAGTGTGTAATTACTTAATTGCAATTAAAGGATGAGAGCTCTACTTGTGGTGTCTCATCTCCCTAAGTACTCTTCTCATATGACACTATGAAACTATTGATGGTTTTGGTGTCTATCACCTCTTCACTTAACTTGTTTTACCATCTACCATTGTTTGTAAAAGAGAACTCTAATATTGTTTGGGCATCTTTGTTTCCTTAGCTTCAATCTATGACCTCTTCTTTTTGAAGTTGCAGGTTTCAACAATTCCTGTCAGTTCCTGTTACTATTTTATATGTGGTAATCATGTTGCCTCTTTTCCTTCTATCTTCTTGCCTTAGCATATTTAATACCTCTAACCTCTTGCTTCCTTGCCTCCCTCACTGGTAATCTTAAACTCTTCCAGTGATGCATTGTTAAATATTCCCTCCCCATAGTTCAGGAACTTTTTGCGATTACAGTACTGTAAAGACGTCCTGGAATTTCTATCCTCACACACCACCTTGTCATTTGTAGTGAACCCGTCTCCCCCTATCCTCAGTTTCATTACCTGTTCCTTGAATGTTGTTTTCCTTCTGATGTGGCTGTGCAGCAATTTGGGTTGGGTCTTTGCTTTATTTGCTCTGTCATTTGTTTAAGTTTTTCTGCATCTCCTCTCACCTTGAGGTACTCATTCCTGGACTTCTGGTGTCTTCCTCTGCTCTCTGATGTCCTGTTATATCTATTTTTCCCATGCTCTTATACTTGCTTTGCCACCTTACATTCCTGATTAAACCATGGATTTCTCATTTGCATTTTGTTGTATTTCCTTTTGGACTGGGACAAACTTGTCTGCTGCCTCTTACACATCTGGGTGATAAAGTCAATTATGTCTTATGCAGCCTTTCCCATGAGCTGTTACCTATGGTAGTTCTATTACAGGGCTGTGCTACATACAAGACACCAAGGGGAATAGTGGATGAAGACTACCTTATATAAATTGTATGGAGATAAGACAAGTGGGTATCGGTGGAAGCTGCATGGGCAATTGAGTCCTTAAGATGCATGTATAGTCTCATGCTGTATAGATGGTCAACAAGTGGAATGTATTAAAGTTGTCAAAGCCACTTCTGTTCACTGATTTAAGACACATTATAACATAATACTTGAATGTCAAGGAATGTAATGAGTGTGCTAGGTATGAAATGTGAGAAAGGGGGGGGGGGAGGGTCATGGAGCTAGGTTTCTGCCACAAACACCATTGGCAGGGCCATGTCACCCATTAGAACCACCTTTCAGTGCTCATTACGCCACACTTACCATTACTCCACTGTGTTCATATCCTCTATCTTTTTCTATGTACTGTATATAAATCAAATACTTGTACAGGTATGTTTTTGCTGTCTGCCTTAATAAAACAGCAGCTTTTAAAGAACTTTTGTAGATATAGTAAATGAATATTCTAATTCTGTTGTCGCTTTCCTCTCTAGACCTCATTGTACTGTTAACTTTACTTGGATGTGCTTTTAAAATTACATGTATTACTGTTTATGCTTTTTTTATCTCATCAAGAACATAAATTTTCAGATATTTGGTACAGTATTCTTGTATTGTTCTGGTCTAAATATTTTGAAGTTAGAAATGTATCTGTCTTTATGAATACAGTCATGTTGTTTTATACTATATATATATACAATTTTCTTATTTTCATACAGGATACATGATTATATTTAATATTTATTGCCTGTTAATGTTAGTGATCAAGGCAGTTTATTAATGGAAGACTTGATGGGTGGTGTGGTGATGTCACCATGCCACGATCATCAGTTTATGTCAGACTCAACTGGCCTTCACAAAATGGTGATGCAGTGGCCATTGGTGATGCTTTACCACAGTCTCAGGATGGCCAGAAAGTGGCACTGTCACCTTCCACTGAAGAGAGAACTATTCAGCAAAGAGATGGTCACTCTAAGGAGAAACAATCTCAGAAGGGCCAGATCTTGTCTTCTGTGTGTGCTTGTATCCCTTCAGCTAGAATTATTCCCACATCTTCAGGTGTTTCATCTGTTTATGCTCCATCAGGTACCTGTGTCTCTTCCTCGAGTATTAAACTGGACGAGACTTCTCGACATAACACTGGAGCAAAGCCTAAAGTTAAGCAAGCTGTAAAAGAATGTTTATATAGTCGATCCATCCACAAAAGTCCATCTGTAGTCACTACATCTGGAAATGCCAACTTTCCAAATCATACATCTGGGGTACCATGCCTAGACACTAGCCATAGTCTTGATTCTCCTTTCTGGTCTGAAACAGAAAATAGGGAAAATGTTCAAAGACCTGGAGCCTTTTTAGTACATAGTGGATGCTCTGGAAGTAATGGTAAAGTAAATGGTGGAAGCTTTAAGACACACCAGAAGCCAAAGACGAAGCTTAAGCATAAAAATCTTAAAGGGAGAAAAATAACTCGCTCATTAAGTGCATCATGTGTAAGTGTTAGTACAAATACAGACCCAAGGGATTTTATGGAACTAGCAAAGATCTGTGGTACATTGCCAGGGTGCTTGAAAGTAAAGGAGTCCAGCAAAGCAGTAGAAGCTATTTTGGAGAAGTGTGTTTTACCATATCCTTCTAGTAGCAAAAAAGTCTCGCAGTCGGAAATAAATCTTTCATTAAAAAGTGTTGATGGGACCATTTCCACATCTGCAGAGCCCACTGACAAGAGCCTTATCTCACAAGCTGCAATTCCAGGAAACTTTGAAGTGCAACATGTACAACAGTTGCTGATTAATGAAACTGATGACAAAGTTATACAAGAATGTGATAAGGAATTAAGTGAAGTGGAACGTACTGCCAAAGGGATAGAAAATTTAAGTATTAGTGGCCAACGTGGTGCTGGTGATGGCTGTGATGATTCCAACAAGGGATACATTGAGCTAGCCACATATTTACCTAGTGAAAGCTTGCCAAGTGCTACCCATTTCAAATATGAGCAGTATGGCTGTTTAACTGAAGGAGACTCGTCTAATGGACAGTTTTACTGCTCTGCACTTCACGCACACAATGATCCAAGCATTTTGCCATCAAACCTGTGTTTCAGCAATTGTAAGAGAATAATATCCTCTGAGAATAATAGTCCTAATTTACATAATGATAAGGTATTTGCATTTGTGAGTAAGCAGGATAAATCCCCTGCAGACTGGAAAGTTAATAACAGTTGCATGATGCAGCCAACTAATGCAGCAATAGCTCTTGCTTGTGTGTCAGGTTCTCCCTCTAACTGTGAAGAAGATAAACACTCATTTGAGGAATCTTCTATTTCTCCCACTATCACATTCCAGCCTTGTAACAGTACACATAAGCATCTTGACTATCTCTACTTGCCATCCCACAGTGGTGAAAGTTGCCTAAGGCCAACTGATAATGAAAGTGAAACTTGTGTACATGTATTAACATCCAGCAATGAAGAGCAGAAGGCAGACCCTCTAGTTTGTTCAGCTCAAGAACATATGAATGAACAAGTCATTCAGCCTATGCAAAGAAAGCAATTGGAGAAAGAGTTTTCAGTAGAGACCTGTCCAGATGTTGTTCTTCAAACATTCGAAGGTGAGGGGATTTCAGGCCAGAACAAAAGTTTAAAGAAAACGGTTACATTTCTGCTGCCCCCTGAACACTGGGATTCCCTCATCTCTCTTAGGGAGAGTAACAGTAAGTTTAAGAATTACAGCATGCTTAGTATCAAGGCAGTAAATAAACTGACTTGTGACTTGCCGTTGATCTTTTGTGTATTTGTCTTGTATTTTTAATGTTTTCCTAGAATTTTCCAGTGGAATATCTGGACCAATGCAAACCCATTGCTAATTTGTGACCCCAGAACCACAGTGTGATTTAACCCTGAGTTTGATGTGTGCTTATTTGAATATTGTGATTCAAGTTTGATGGTGACATTGCACTACAGTATAGGTTACTATTGATTTTGCTTACTGTTATTAAATGATGGGCTGTATATACAGCTACTCTAGTATGTAGTAGTTGGGTGAATCAGAATAACAATTGTATTTTCAGTTTTTCGGTAAAGTGCTGTATATCAGAATTGTCTTAGACCCCGTTAACTATTGGTCAGTTCTCAACCTCCTCTTGATAATCTGATTACTGTACCATAATAATAAACTTTACAATAATATTTTGTTATGACAATACTGTACCTCTCATTATTCTCTTGGTAGAGTTGCAGGAAAAGCTTTATTTTCCATTAGACCAGTATAATTATTAATTTTCTTTAAGGCTATTGATTGTGTGTGTTGCGTTTTGAACTCGGAAACACTGAAAGGTGGGGGGGGGGAAATTCATGGGAATTTTTATAAGTACTGTAATTCTACATGTTTATTAGCAATGGAGGAATTTAGTGGCTTCTGGCCAATGAATTTATGTTCTTAAAATTGTATGAATAGCCACTTGTTGTTATACAGTATCTCAATATTGGTGATACTGTACATATGGAAAATTATGCATTAAAGTTATATGAACCAATACTGACATCTTTAACTTGCCTAGAAGAGCTCTTTAGTATTGTACTGTGGTGTAATCATGATTGCTCTACTAATACTGTACCTACCTCTTTTAACATCTTACTCTTATCATGTTTTTTTTTTTCAGTGCATTAAAAGTACAGTACTGAATTTTATCTTGTCAATTTGTTAATTGTATATTGAAAGTTTATTTAATTTGTAAAAAGTAATTCAAAAGGTAATGAAAATCCTTTCTGTTAGTAATAACCTTCAAATTAAAAATGAATAAATAAATACTGTATATGGAAAAAATCACTTTGAAAAATAAATTATTATTGTTCAAAGTTTTTTTTCTACAGACAGTACTTGGATCAGTGTTTCTCTTAGGAAGGAACGTAACTAACACAATTTCCACCACATATTTACATATTGTGTATCACGTATTGTGTATTAAATAAGAAATTAAATACTACCAGCATATAGGAATTAATTTTATATGAAGTTTAAATAAAACCTATTTAAATATATATATATATATATATATATATATATATATATATATATATATATATATATATATATATATATATATATATATATATATATATATATATATATATATATATATAAAATTAAAAATAAATATAATTCAGTGTGTTATATATTTATTGAAAGCTTGAATTCTATAATTTTCCAAAAGTTTTCTTTTTTCTTTTCATCTGATTTAAATTTTGCATTTCTGCCAGTTTTCATGTTCTTACAGTTAGTGGCTATCCTCAAAGTGGCTATGCTGAACTAGATGGCACGCTGCTCCCTCCCAATGGCGAGGACCCTTATCGGAACACTCCGTCACCTGGAATGCAAGGAATCCCACAAGACAGATACGGTTAGTGACCTATCTCTTAATTCCCTGTACTTCGTATTGACAAAACTTACGTAATGAATGTTTTTTTTTTTGACAAGTGACTTTATTGGAAGATGTATAGCAGTTTGTATTGTGCATGATATAACTTAGTAATACTGTACTGTACTGTAATCGGAATTTCTTTTATCAACATTTACACTGATTTTGGATTTCATTCACTTATTACATAGTCATAGAACATGATAAAATCTTCCATCTTTTTGAATAAGAAAATTTACCACACGTTTTTCTATAAAGTGACTTGGTTTTGGAACCGAGTCACCTTTTTAATTAAGTGATAGAATGTATATTTAGTACTTTTTAAGGTTACCTTTCAAGTTCCTTTTTCAATTATGTAGTTTACAATATTTATAATGCTCTCTTAAATAATGCAAATGGAAAAACTGTTGTAAAAGTTTTATTGTTTGGACCTGATAGTTTCTTGAAGACTAGCTTTCGTAGAACGTGTCACATGGGATATTACGGTACCTCTGGTAAAGCTTCATGTCATTAGTTTTCAGTATTATCTAAGCTAATATATTAAAGCATCACTTGTTGTGCACTATCGAACCACAGCCCACTTATTAATTCTGGGTAATGCAAGGATTTAAAGCTTGCTTCAACTTTTGGGAAATTCTTATCATGCATTTATTTTTCCTATTTGTAATACCATAAATATAAATTCATCTTCTTAATGCTAGCTGATGACCCTCAACTTATGGGTAAGTATTAAATACTGAGACCGCCAGATATCTTAACTGTAATTATTTATTTATTTATACAGTACTGTTTGCATGAAGAACTTCCAATATGGCTTTCTTACATCAGCTCTGTTAGCCGAGCTGCTGCAATGGTAACTGTGTTTCTTGTCTCATCTGTCGGCTTTTGCTTCCTACCAGAGTTCAGTTATTATACGCAAGAAGCTGGTGCTAATTTGTGTTGCTGTTTAAGTTGTGACTTGAAGATCTGTGGCTTTATTTACTTCTTTCTCATTTTTAAATTTGAATTGCTTTTGTTAAGCACTGAAAATATTCCTTGTTATTTTGTAATTAAATGAGCCATTGTGTTATATCTGATATTGCTTGTGAATCCATATTAATTTATAGTAATTAATGAAAGTCTACAGCTTTGTTTTAGCATCAAAAACATTTATATTCAATTGTACAAGTACAGTACTGTACCTATATTTCTTGTTTTGTGAATGTGTTCTGTGTTAAGTGTTTAAATTCTCTTTTGTATATAATCCAAATGAAAATTGAAAGGGAAATTACAATTTGATCTTTAGATGTCAGTAAGTTTAAATCTTTTCTCCCGAGTTTTTTTTATTTGATTTCATTCCAGAGACTACCTAAATATAATTGGAGTGAAAGAATGATAAGTGTAGTGAAGACTAATGGAAAAAGTTCTTCTGGTTAGACTTTTGTTAGACTTTTCAAAAGTTAGACTTTTGCTGGAAATTGTGCCAAGGTGGGGTTGTTACATTTTAAATATTTTATTTTATTAAAGAAACGAGCTGGAAAAATAAAATGATACAAAATATGAATGTTGGTTTTAGATATGCATCAAATACGAAATATTAATGTAATTAACAGCTCACCAGTCATATTTTTTACCCGAGAAAGTATTAGCAGCACTACTGTATATTAACTAATAACTAAAGGTGAAGATACCAAAAGTATTGGTAATTTGAATGTATCATTCTGCTTGAAATGCCTTACAGAGGGAAAAGAATGTTGTATAAATGTTTTACTGAACATACAAAATGTTTTAGTAAACATATTAAATGTTTTACTAAACATTTAATAACAGAATAATCCTAAACTATAAACACTTAAGATGTCGATATACGTACATCATATACAGTACTATGTATATTGTTTGCTACGTTCAAATTAGAATTGACCATTTGGGGCTTCTTAATTCATACCATTTGGGGCTTCTTAATTCATATTACAGTATTACATTCAACGGCATAACAGGTGTATGCAAATGTGTTTTATTCCTTTACATCATTTTCTTCGGTCTGAATGATAAACCATCACCATGTCACTCTTCAAGTTCCTGTCTATAATGCATGCCCACATCACCTCCACACTCCATTGCCTATAGCACGCACGTTAAATGTTATCAACAGTAAATGATGATACAAAGTACTCGGTTGACACATTTATGAGCATGGATACTGCTAATATATTTTGTCCTTTTACTTAGTATAAAAATTATTATTGTTATTATTCAATAACTGTTTGGCACCTTTTTGTCTTGAATTAAAGTATACTGTAGATTGATTTTTATGACTATTTTGACAATTTATAATTCCTTAAGACCCTGTATCTTCTTGCTGCACATTTCCTTGAGACTCTGTATCTTCTTGCCGCACATTTCCTTGAGAGACTATATCTTCTTGCCGCACATTTCCTTGAGAGACTGTATCTTCTTGCCGCACATTTCCTTAAGACCCTGTATCTTCTTGCCACACATTTCCTTGAGACTCTGTATCTTCTTGCCGCACATTTCCTTGAGACTCTGTATCTTCTTGCCGCACATTTCCTTGAATGGGTGGCCATATCTGGAATCTTTATCAAATATTTGCCAGCCTTGCAGAATTAATAGCTTGGCAGGAGTTCCTGAATCATTTAACTAAGAATTTACCTATTGGTTTGGCCCATAACATTAGTGGAAGTAATTATTTGTTAGCTCTGAAAATGTTGAGGAAAATTTGTAAGATTACCCAGCATGCAATCATTATTGAGACTCACAATTGTTAAGTTGAAAATGGCTGTTTAATACATGATTTTATAAACTTTTGTTTGTTAAACTGTTAAGAAAAAAAAGCCACATTGAAAAGCAGATTATGATAAGTTAAAAAAGAAAAGTATACAGTAGTGCTTTTATGCTTAATATTAATGTGAATAGTGATTTTTGTTTGGTTATAAATGTGAGAAGACTGAGGGCAATATTAGTAGATGAGGTGTGCTTTTTGCTAAGCATAGCAGTCTATGCTGAAGTATAGCATAGATTGGAAATAATTAAATATACAATTTGCAGTATGTGGCAGCTTACATTATTCCTAACCAGACTTCATACAAAAATTGAGGCAAGCTTACCCCCCAAAAAAAGATATTGAATACATTTACTGCAGCATTAGAGAAACTGACATAAGATGGTAAAATAGGAAGATAGATTGCATTTAAAACACGTCAGTATACCGTACTATTTATGGGTGTAAGTAGCTATAAAGGCTCTTAGTTAAGCCTGATTAGTGACAAGAGTATGGAGGTTCTTTTCTATCACTCATGGTACTGTAGTTCATAATTTACCTCAGTATTTATTAACAAAGGAAACTGTATGGGATTTTAATAGATAAAGCAGAATTAATTTATTTACATTAGTGACTATTTATATACAAAGATGAAATACTAGTACATTTATGGATTTTTTTTTTCCTCCACAATGAATGGGCCAAATACAGTAGCACACAATTTTATGATAAACATCCACTGCTACAAATATTACAAGGAAGCTTCTCTAATACTTTCCCCACTGTCCTGTCATTTATTTTTATGCCAAATGATCCCAGGAACTTTAGCTAACCATATGACAGCATTGCTTGTGTTCTCTGCACATTGGAATTTATTTACAATGTGTGTGGTTTTGTTTTAATTTGCTACACTAATTTTGATTTTACATTGTTTTGTTTATTTTATTTGAATTTGCTATATATTACTAGTACAGTATTGCATTTAATGTATTGATTTTGTTTTTTATATTTTAGATACTTTTTTAGAATGCATTTCATTTAGCTTAGGTTGTCCATAAATAATTTTCACTATCCCAGTATATTTTAATTGGCTTGAGTATTTAGTTTTTGTACGTAGACTGTGTATGCGTTTATGTTGTGGCATGATGTGTTTGTGTTTGTTTGTACTGTAGATGGCGGACTTGAAGGTGATGTCCATGTTGGGGATTACCCCGAGGATAGCAGGTACCCCGGAACTGAGAGTGGCATGGTTTATCCACCCGATAGTGTGGTGTATGGGAGGCTGCTGGGTGCTCCCCGCTCACCCTATACCATAAATGGAGGGGTGAGGGCAAGTGCCGAGCCTCTCTTACCTTCCCCTGCTATGTATGAGGAACAGCCGCCTCACATACAGCACACTGCACCCTCCCCACACATCTCGCCGCCAACTCCCTCTTTGCCACCTCCGCCAATCCAAAATCACGACAACTATGCACATCCCAACCTGCTACGCTCTCCTTCTGCTGACAGCAGTGCTCCCAGAGGTGTGGCATTGCTTGGCTTTTGTAAAATGCAGTGGTTATGATACCGTTTATTGTTTTGTATTTTTACATTAAATCTTTATCTAAAAGCACATGTATTTTCAGTTGGACAAACTGTGATCTTTAATGATATCTTAATGTTTTTGTTTAATAAAGTAATATGTACAAGGTTTTAAGAATAAAATGTATGAAGAACTAGTAAAGCTGTTAGAAGTAATTGATGGGAAGTTTATCTCATAGATTGAAATCAAATAGTTTTGAGCTAAGAGGTTTATAATACTGCAGTATCTGCTTGGAGTTGATATGCAGTATTGTACTTGTTTATCTTCATGCCCCAAAAGAAGGTCTCTAGCTTCAGACCAAAAGTATTTACATGTATTCTTTTTTAATACAGGTTTTTCTACTCCTATATGCTTCTCTGATGAAACATGTCTTGAACTTAAATTGAATGACTTGAGAAATATCTTAAGGTAATAATGCTGTTATGTATATAATTCTTATGTAATTCTCATTATTTTAACCAGATCATGTAACCCAGATTTATGGAAAGTGTTACGCTGTTAATAGCTTGCCAGACTCGTGTCGTTCACTGAGGTGCCCTGTGTGTTTCTGGAAAAATCACTCGCTGCTCACACCACTGATTTTCTCCTCCTCTTTCAGAAGTGGTGTTTCTTATTTGATGTAAAGCTCGTCTTTAGTTTCTAATTGTAATTGTAATTGCCTCTTCCCTGGTGCTGAAGGTGAACCTCTGTTCACTTTGATGGAAATTTATCAATGCCCCTCGTTGCTGGATTTGACGTCTTGTGTTATAGGGATAGCTTCCATTCTTATGAAAATTACTCACTACTTCAGTTGTTAATATTGGCTGGCATCTTGGGTGCTCTAGGCATGACACAGTGCATCTTTTATGAAAAACAATAGATTTTCCTAGGGCTGATATTAGTCTCCAGCACTGCTATACATGGTCTTTGCAGAGGAGTACTGTTGTTAAGTGTTGGATACCAGACAAGCAGGCAGGCTGTACCCTTGGGTGACCTATTGTGTTCATTGTCCATGCTCATGGAGTTTGTTTCTCACAGAAAACCTTGTCACTTTGCTTTAGAAGAACAGACAACTTGAAATATTTTATAATTTGCTTGGGTCTTGATTTTGATTGTTCAAGACATTAAATATCCATAACTAATGAAATTGTTCCCAATATGCTATTAAAGACAAGGATATTGTAATTTTAAGTGATGGTTTTATAACCACAAACTTATTGCCCTATCTGGAAGACATTTCTATACAAAAATTGAATTATGGAAGAGAACGCAGTTTCAAATTTTATTATGCTTTGCCTTCTTGGCTTTTCTTCACTAGGTAAGTATGTTCTTGAATTAAAATATACTTGTCACTCTTTGACATTTATATAATTGGATTTTCTGGCATATTTTAAGTTTCATTTATGTGATGACCATCTTAATTGTGCTATGAAAGGGAGGTCGTATTGGGCTTTGGACACACCATTGATGTATTTTTCCATCATGTAAGGGCAAAAGAACTTGGGTCTAATCTATTGTTTTTATTGTTGTTGCCAGAAGTAGCTAGTTTATTTATACTCTTACTCATCCTGTGATTGACCGTATGAAAGATTTACAAAGGGCACAAAAGGTCTTAATCAGACTTTGGTGGATGATGTTTGACATTTAACCACGCACCTTATATCTTATTATAGTAGATAGTAACAGATCACTTCTTGCACTGCAACTATGTATTATATATTATTACATATTGGTGGCAAAACGTTATGGTAATACTTTATATTACTCAATGAATAATGTGGATACAATGCGAGAGCGTCGGGTAATTTGATTTGGAATGAAATAATTTGCTACTTCATGCAATGGAAGTTTATATCTTTTTCTAAATGACGAAATTTTTCTCTCATTATTAGCTGTAATGCTCTATTGTGTGTTCCTCTCTTAGCACATGCGCTTTATATTGCATGTCATCTAGATTGCCCATCCTAAACCTCAGACATACTTGTATGGATCTGGCGCCCATCCAACCTGAGTCTTGGAAGCAAAAGCTGAAATTAGTTCATAAACTCTTAACTCAAGAATTGCAAGATGGTGTGTTAATAGTAATTTGCCCACCCTCTTAAAATATTTGGGGTATCATTAGTAAAATGTTCAATATCTATTAATATTTATTAATTCCATGTACGAAGCAATAATGTTTTCATGTTATGTTTTACTTTCTGGGAACAGTTCGGTGGCGAGATCCAGACCTACATGAAGTTATCGACTTCTTAAGCAATTCTAATAATGTGGTAAAAGCCAATGCTGCAGCATATCTTCAACATCTATGTTATATGGATGATACAACCAAGCAAAAGACACGAATATTAGGTGGCATTCCGCCTCTCGTAGCTCTCCTCACTCACGACTTGCCTGAACTTCACCGTAACGCTTGTGGGGCACTTAGGTAATCCTCCACTCCAGTTAATTGTACTATTAATGTTGACTTATTTTCTGTTTTAGTTATTAATATCATAATTGAAAGTAGGTACAAATTTTAAGCTTCACATGTCTCTAATGTTGTCTTATAAATTTCTCATTCCCCTATACACATTTATATATTTAATTTATTTACTTACTAATTATTTTTAATAATTTAGTTTACATTTTGACCGTATCGAATGTGTTTCTATTTGGCTTTTTTATGTCAAAGATTTTGTTGATTTATATATTATCAGTTAATGAGGAAATTACAGGTTGCTTTAAACAAAATAATACTGGAGAATTTTTTTTTTACGGTACGAGATGATTTACGTATTTGTTTTTCATTAGTACAGTAGTTTATTTAGGTTGTCAAGCAAGTAATTTTAATATTAAAATTTGATTAGTTTAGTTTTTCTTAATACATTTTATACATTGAATAAAGTGTTAGCAAATAAAGAGCTCCTAATAGCACATGTGAAAACAATGAAGGCCTTGGATTTGAGCACAAAGTTGTAACGTCTATCAGTTGTAATTCAGCAACAAGAACAGTGTTTAGGATGAGACAGTTATTAAATGTCTTGTAAGGAACACTTTCTTTGATGATCAAATATCTTGAGAAACAATTTCTTAATTCAGAACTCAAAAACTTGCCTTTCTTATCTAGTGAAAGTAAACTATAAGGTGGACTCAAGAGTCCACCTTATAGCTATGGTACTTGGTGCATTTATGCCTCCCACCATCACAGTCTTGTTCTTCGTTATATTTAGGCTCAAAGCTGTAAGTATTGGTTTTTCCACTATCACCTGGCTCAAGGCTCATTCCATTTGTGTACTACTTTCTGCATATAAGTATTTCCTTTTATATCTCTGGCTCGTCATTATTTCCAGATAGCATAATGCCTCTTGGCCAATGCAAAGCAAATTCTGTTTATGCCCAGCCATACTCATTTATATGTCTTATCAATACTGGAAAACAATCCAACAATTTTGAATATTATGTAACCTGGCAACCTGCTCCACAAATCTACAAGGCTCATTCCTAGCTAATGTTTACCCAGTTCTTTTCTGAATCTAAACTTATTCGATTTGTCTCCATGTGATGATAATTTTAGCACCTTGTTTATATTCTTGTTATACATTTTTATCAATTTGAGTTCTTTAATCATGTTTCCTCTTACTCTTGTCATTCTTAGCCTTAATCTTAAGCTTTCACAATCTTTCTTTGTGAGAGTGTTTGTTACACAGGATTATCATTGCTATTCCTCTCTGCACATGTTTAAGGGAATTTGTCCATTCTGTAGTCTGGTTCCTTCCACAACTGCATAATCTAAATGAGGTCTAGCTAAGGGACAGCCATACCCTACAAGGAACATAGATCTGAGAAGGAAAATCATGTCTAACCTATTTTTATTTTACAACATTGACCAGAATCGGATGAAAGGAGAGAGAAGTGCACTCAAAGGTCACTTAAATGTCAAAAGGCCTTTGGTACCATTCATAATAAAGTCAATAATGTAAGCTAAATACTCAAAGAAGACTTATAAACAGTCCCTCAGAAATAAAATGATAATCCCTTTACAACATTATATGCAGCCAATGTTGAACCAGTTGTGATGTGACACTGGCATGGGATCAACTTTGATTTAAGCATGAATTGTAAATTGATGATTTAGATTTTCCTTTTAACTGATAGCAGAAAAATAAGACCCGAGCTGTAAGAACAGGCTCATAGGATCACTAGAACCTATGAACATTAATCATAGCATACAAGATCCTTAAGAATAGATGTAGTGGACAAAGATCATCTCATGTTTCAGATGAGAACAGCTACTAAAGGGCACAGCTAAAAATTAGAAATAAAAGAGCCTCAGAGATGGAAGGAAGTACTCCAATGAGGCCAATTCTATTCACATCTTTAAAAGTAGATATAACAGTAGTAGGAAAGTGTTAGTAACATTGCAGTAACATTGCACCAGATACCAGGAAGTGTAGAAGCTGGTGTAGGTGCTAATCATCCCTACCAGGTCAGTCATACAGGCAAGAACCTGTAGGTAAGAACTGATAAACATAACCTCCTCTCACCACCACAACCAACCACCAGACAAGCTTAAGACTCGACTGGTCTTTGTGACTGGAAGAGCCTAGAAAACTGACCTATTTTGAAACGATGATTCAGGTTTTTACTTTTAGTAATTAATGTTAGTAAAGAAACTTTCAGTTCTATGGGAGAGTTTGTATTGTCATGTGTACAACACTTCAATATATATTATTGTGTATTAGTTGAATTATTTAAGTATTCTCAAACCCGCTGTATAGTAGTTGTAAGAATTAAGATATTTGAAAGCAAAGTGATTAGTAGCAGTATGATACCTGTTGATATACTGAAGAGCATTGTATCACAATCAGCAACTGATATAGTTCATATTGATGCTAATGATTGATAAAATTTCTGCAAGTGATAGTTATGTTGTTGTTTTTCTTTGTTCAGAAACTTATCATATGGTCGCCAAAATGATGAAAATAAACGAGCAATTAAAGATGCGCAGGGCATACAATCACTAATCAGGCTACTGCGCAAAACTCCCGACAACGAAATTAAGGAGCTGGTCACTGGCATCCTCTGGAATTTATCATCTTGTGAGGTAAGAAGTGTCTATTGAGTGAATGTGTCACTTAAGTTTGATAGACTTTCATGCTGTTAACTCTAAATAACGAAAATTTGTTTTAAATGTTTTGTCGTACACTTTATTTTTTAAATGGATACTCTGATTTGATTTTGAATATAAACTAAAAGTGTTTGTGGGAAGTTTCCATTCCGTTTTGGTGATAGTTTTAAATTTTTGTCTTGTGGTATATTGAGCAAATAAGTACTTAACCTTAGGTATAGACAATCTTTTAACACTTCATGTATCTTGTGTGAGGCATTTAATCCATGCTTTGGTTAATTTAAAACAAAAAATTAACTGATATCTGCAAAAAAAAGTATTTGGTTAATTGATAACTATTTCATCAATTGGAATACTTTTTTTTAGTCTTAAAATTTTACCTAGTGCAGTCTTATGAATAAATGATTTAAAAAAAAAAATGAAGAAGGATTTTCACACTTTCCTGGTTTTTACTTATAAGTTCAATTAGAAATGCCTCTTCTAAATTTCCAGGACTTGAAGCACAGCATCATAGATGATGCGTTAACAGTTATTGTTACCCACGTCATCATTCCGTGCTCAGGCTGGGATGGGGGGGAAGTTGAACGGGACCCTAATGTCGATGTCTGGTGGTCTACTGTATTTAAGAATGCCTCAGGAGTTTTAAGGTAAGTTACTACATTTTATCTTTGAATCATTATCTTATTAAATTCATATATATTTGCTAAAGTCAGTATTCAAATACTGTAATGAAAACATATATATTTTTTCAGGAATGTAAGTTCGGCCGGTGAGTATGCAAGAACGAAACTCCGTCAGTGCCTCGGGCTTGTAGACTCGCTACTTACAGTGATTAAGTCTGCAATCCAGGGGTCTTCCCATGACAATAAGAGTGTAGAGAATTGTGTCTGCATTCTTCGAAACCTCTCCTATCGATGTCAAGAAGTTGAGGATCCTAACTATGATAAGAATCAGCCTCCAACCCAGTCTCGGGCCACTGCTACTGCCAAGGGTAAGTTTGCATTGAAAGTGCACTCAGATATTTGCATTACAATACTATGTTAACTCCTGATTTTATAATATGCTTTGTTTTGCAGGATGTATTAGGAAGATGATTACTGCGCAATAACATTTGGTTTTCCAGTTAGGTCTCGTTGTTGCATGGTTTTGTTGGTTAACATGGTGTTATGCACTATTATTTATATCCACAGCATAATGGAAAAAAAAGAGGCATGTTGTGTTCAAAGTTAATTTAAGGGTTACAGTTTGAACCTAACAATTCCAATAATTGTGTGTTGTCAGTATAGGCTCGAGGAAAGGGTGGTTATAACATAAATAGTAATTGTCTTTTTGTGGGAATGTAGTCAACATTTTGTTTCAATTTATCGGTTGAAAAGAAGCAGAAAAACTCAAGTATCATTTATTTGTTATCAGACCCACAAATGTTTGTGACTCAGATATTCACATTGCTGTGTTAAAAGGATATATTAATATTTAGCAAGCATAATTATTCATTACATTTTTACCAAGTAATAAATATTGTATTAAAAATAATAATAATAATAGTACTATACAATAAACATTATTATCCCAATATCCCTAGGAACTAGGCAGTCCTGGAAAACTTAACTGGTTGCACAGTATATAGTGTAATATGGTTTAATGTTCATTAAGTTACTTATACCTGCCCACTGCTATAAACCGGTTGCTAGCAGATTATAGAAGCCATGGTATGCTGCTGACTCTATACTGTACATGGAATTTAGATTTATTTGGTTATAATGTCCATTAGATTTTTTACTTGGTATTACTCCTGGACACTTAATTTCTGAACTGATCAGTTTCGAGTTCTTCATATAATAGTGCATCAAGTCACTGCACTCGACGCACTCGACTTGGCTTTGCGCGAGTCTTCCATTTAACAAGAATTTTATTTGAATTGGAATTAGTGTGAAACTTAATTGATGGTAATTTTGAGCTTTTAATAGTGTGGATAAATCAATGTTGGTTTCATCAGAGAATTGTGGTTTTCACTTTTTTACAATTTTCTCATTTATTGCAGTGATAGTACAACTCGCTTGCAGTTTACTCTAGCTGCAAGAAGGAATGTCCATTGATTTAAATTTTTAATTATTTACTATGAAGGCATTCAAATTTTTAAACAAATATGAGTAAGCTGTCACCGAGTCAAACCAGACTACAAATGCTGTTGGAATCGGATACATATTCCAATCCACAAAGGTTTTGTTCAATGGCTAATTCTTTCCAGCCTACCAATGATCTTGCTTCACTACACTTCATTTAGGCAAGATTACTCTAGTATATTTTACTGTTAGGGTAAATAATGATTTTGTAAATAAAAGTACGGTTCCATACTGGCAGCCAGAGGCCACTGCACAGAGCCCAAAACATTGCTTTGCTTTTGCCGCCATCTATCCCTCGACACAATATATAATTAGAATTACAGTACACTGTATTCTTCTCATAACAATTCCACGTAACATGCATAACTTTTATTTTAGGTAATATATTAGACAAGTAAGTAAAAAGGACTTGAGGATGATTAAGGCAAAAGGGTACTGGATATGTGTTAGGGGCGGGTTGTTGTTTGTTGAAGATTTATTGTTATATGAATGCATGGAAAAAATTGGTGGAGAAAGATGTACGAAATACTGTTAAAGAAAAATGTGGACAATAATTAGAAAAATTGTAAAAAAAATTGATAAATAAGGTTTATCATCTATGTGATAAATAATACGTGGGGAAATGATATGCCTTGATAGCAGCAGTGTTAATATTAATCATGTGGGGGAAATGTTGTGTTCTTACAGGTTTCAGATGTAAAGTTTTAGCACTAATCTTTAACAACAACAATAATAATATGGTGTGTTATTGTTAATGGTGTGAGAACTAACAGATAAACTTGCTGGTTACAGACGGAGAAGGGGAAGGGACGGACACTTGTGGTAGGTCTTCGGAGCCCAAGGACAACCTGTGTAAGCCTTCTACTCTCCATACTCAAAATCCTGTTTTACTTAATCCTATGACTTCCCAGTTCCTTATCCAGACTGGCGATGGACATCAGTGGCTGTGCAGTATGATTATGCATGCGACCAGCACCTACGTGCTCGGTGCTAGCATGCACTTGCAGCTGTTGTCGCAGTTTAATTTTTGCTTTGTCAGTGGCATCCTGCTTGATGTTAGATACATCTTGCATATTATTATTTGCCATGTTGCACATCATTATTTACTTGAATATGTTATGCTTTGTTTTAACATCATCAGCATGTTGGTAGTAAGACCTAGTGATTGTTTGGATTGTTTGTGTATTTTCTGTTTATGGAACAATTACTTTCAAGAATATAAGCATGCTAGTTGCATATAGAAACAATGGATGGTGAAAGAGAACACATTGGAAGCTCATTAGTATTATAAATAAAATATAATTAGAATAAATGTTTAATTTTATCTTGTGTTGGTTACTCAACTCAGTACAGGAGATTTACCATATTTATTTTTATTCATGATGTTTTGCCTCTTAAAAATAAAAAAAGTTTGATAAACCTATAAATTCCCAGATGTCAATCATTTTACAGCATTGACAATTATTGGTATGCACTTTTTAACTAAACTGGGGTAGTTCTTAGATGTTGCAAATATACTTTCTGATTAGTTGCATGTATAAATACCAAAGGTCTCAACGTAGCAATTGCATCAAAGATTTTTTCTCATTCAGGAGCAGCGTAAATGTTAAAATGCACTAGTGAGTGCATTCAGTTATTCATGCTCTTTGTTGCTAATTAAGTGCAAGTCTCCTTATTCAATTGGCCTCTTGAATTTCATACAGAATGCTAGTCTACTTATTATTTTACTTTTTCTTGAGAGCAAAAAAATATTTTTACTGTTTTTGGAAAACCAGTTAATACTGTAGCAGTTTTAGTTAAGTAATTTTAGTAATCGTAAGGGGGTTCCGTTATAATCTGCTTTATTGTATGGCCTGGTACCGAGTTTAAAATTCACTTTGTACTTTACATTAACACATTTGTTGGATGTTTGGTTTCCTTGTAGGGATAAAACTTAGTTTTGTTCCCTGTTTTTCCAGCTTGTTACTTAGCCATAACTTTAAAGCACAAAGAGTGCCTTTAAATTTGAAAATTTATATTCTGTATTGGTTAGTTAGTTTAGTTCATTTATTATGCACCCCATACCCATCTTGTGGGCGGTAGTGGAAAGGGTTACAGAGGCACATAATGGGCTCTGGGACTGAACCCCACAATTCATTTAGCTAAGCAAGTTACAATCTTGATGAGCTAGTTACAAAATTCAATATAAGTCATCACATCAACAATGGGTTCGAGATCGACCTCAAGTACAGGTTCTAAATTAAGCAACTGACATATGTGGAGAGCTAGTGTCAAAATTTATATGTTTGTCCTGCACACCGCCCCCCATCCAGTGGGCAGCGGTGGATAGGTTACAATCACTTAGTTACTACCTACAGTTAGCAAACTGGGGATATTTGGCTAAAATTTCTGGTAGCAGATCATTTTGAATGAAATATTGACACATCACTGGAACATTGGTTATAGAATTGTCTCTAAATTCACGTATCTTTTCGCACTCCATCACATAGTGACGGAGGGTGTGCGAATAATTTTGTTGACACAGTTTACATTTGGTCAGGTCTACATCAGCAGATAATGAGAATTCCCAGAGATACTTGTAACCGAGTCTAAGCATGAAGCAATGTGCATTTTTTATTTTTGGGGTGGTGTATTTTCCTAGTGACCTACCTGGGAAGCTTTTGTATTGATGAGGGGTTGTTCATTGGCAGGTAATAAATGGGATTGAAAATCAGATTGTCTTTGCATGACTTGATGTTTTGTGAAGTCTTTGAGTGTTCGGTGCCAAAATGTTTTTATTACTTTTGCTGCTGGTATTTTGTAGCTTAGCAGTGGCAGTGTTGAAAGTGAACTTCTGCTCATACAGACATAGCCGTGTATGAGCATGAGATAGATAGATAGATAGATATATATATATATAGATATATATATATAGATATATATATATATAGATATATATATATATAGATATATATATATATATATATATATATATATATATATATATATATATATATATATATATATATATATATATATATATATATATATATATATATATATATATATATATATATATATATATATATATATATATATATATGCGAACAAGCCTGAATGGTCCCCAGGACTATATGCGAATGAAAACTCACACCCCAGAAGTGACTCGAACCCATACTCCCAGAAGCAACGCAACTGGTAACTACAGGGCGCCTTAATCCGCTTGACCATCACGGCCGTCAAAAGGAAGTGATAGCCGAGGCTATTTGAGCCACTTCCCCGACGGCAACTCGGATGGTAATCTTGGGCATAGCATTTCACCAAATCACCTCATTCTTTGGGGCACACGTGAGGAACACAAATGCGAACAAGCCTGAATGGTCCCCAGGACTATATGCGAATGAAAACTCACACCCCAGAAGTGACTCGAACCCATACTCCCAGAAGCAACGCAACTGGTAACTACAGGGCGCCTTAATCCGCTTGACCATCACGGCCGTCAAAAGGAAGTGATAGCCGAGGCTATTTGAGCCACTTCCCCGACGGCAACTCGGATGGTAATCTTGGGCATAGCATTTCACCAAATCACCTCATTCTTTGGGGCACACGTGAGGAACACAAATGCGAACAAGCCTGAATGGTCCCCAGGACTATATGCGAATGAAAACTCACACCCCAGAAGTGACTCGAACCCATACTCCCAGAAGCAACACAACTGGTAACTACAGGGCGCCTTAATCCGCTTGACCATCACGGCCGTCAAAAGGAAGTGATAGCCTTGATAGGAAGTGATTCGCATATAGTCCTGGGGACCATTCAGGCTTGTTCGCATTTGTGTTCCTCACGTGTGCCCCAAAGAATGAGGTGATTTGGTGAAATGCTATGCCCAAGATTACCATCCGAGTTGCCGTCGGGGAAGTGGCTCAAATAGCCTCGGCTATCACTTCCTTTTGACGGCCGTGATGGTCAAGCGGATTAAGGCGCCCTGTAGTTACCAGTTGCGTTGCTTCTGGGAGTATGGGTTCGAGTCACTTCTGGGGTGTGAGTTTTCATTCGCATATAGTCCTGGGGACCATTCAGGCTTGTTCGCATTTGTGTTCCTCACGTGTGCCCCAAAGAATGAGGTGATTTGGTGAAATGCTATGCCCAAGATTACCATCCGAGTTGCCGTCGGGGAAGTGGCTCAAATAGCCTCGGCTATCACTTCCTTTTGACGGCCGTGATGGTCAAGCGGATTAAGGCGCCCTGTAGTTACCAGTTGCGTTGCTTCTGGGAGTATGGGTTCGAGTCACTTCTGGGGTGTGAGTTTTCATTCGCATATAGTCCTGGGGACCATTCAGGCTTGTTCGCATTTGTGTTCCTCACGTGTGCCCCAAAGAATGAGGTGATTTGGTGAAATGCTATGCCCAAGATTACCATCCGAGTTGCCGTCGGGGAAGTGGCTCAAATAGCCTCGGCTATCACTTCCTTTTGACGGCCGTGATGGTCAAGCGGATTAAGGCGCCCTGTAGTTACCAGTTGCGTTGCTTCTGGGAGTATGGGTTCGAGTCACTTCTGGGGTGTGAGTTTTCATTTTCATATATATATATATATATGTGTTTCATTGAATATGACCGCATATTCTGTATTAATTATTTTCTGGTTTAGGGCTTCTATCCCTCTAACTATTTTCTTAGCATCAGGGCTTAATTGAAATAGGAGTTCTCCAAAACTCATTTTCGTACTTTTAAGGTGAAGAAAAGAAGTGATTTACTATAGAGTGTATTACACTTATTTGTATAATTTGCTTTCGAACCTCCATGGTTCATTCTCAAGTGAACAGATCTTACAATACTAGTTGATTTTATACCCGCATTAGGTCAGGTGATAATACAATGAAGGTGAAAACATGGGGGGATACATAAGGGATAAACATAGGGGCTGCAGAAGGCTTATTGGCCCATACGAGGCATCTCCTATCTAAACACAAAGATTAATCCAGTGTAATTGGCCTGTTATGTTGGACATTGTCTTCTGTGTTGGCATCGATATGTTCTTGTCTTGTCCTTACTCTCATGGTGGGTAGAGTAAATAGTTCCGTGATTTGGGTGTTCATGGTAGGTCGCTCTATTCTTATGTGAATTGCCTCAAGAATTTGTAATCTTCTTGAATCTTGGGTTTTGTCTATTATGCAAGTATTCTTGTTCAACATTTCTCTTGTTAGAGTAATGTCATGGGCTTGTCTCATGTGATTCCTAGGGGCACCAGATTGAAGATGGCATGTTAAACGCCTCGTCAGCTTGGTCGACGTCATACCTATGTACTTACATTGAAGGTTACATCCTTCGTGGGGGCAAGTGTACATGTATACAACGCTTGACTGCTGTAGAGGGTTCTCCGTCGGCTTCGGGCTGTTTTTGATAAGGAGTTCGGAAGTCTTCTTGGTTTTGTAGAATATTATCAGGTTTATGTTTTGGTTAGGAGTAGTGCTTTTTACTCCTTTACGGATTATTTCTTTCATTATTCTTTCCTCTTTTATATGTTCACTGTGCATGGTTGATTTGTAATATAATTTTATTGGGGGTGTTGTGGTTTCTGTTCTAGGTTCTGAATTATACCAACGGTCCAAGTGTCTTCTTATAGCAGCGTTTATTTCCGCGTTGCTATATCCGTTGTTCACCAATACCTGAGTTACTATGTTTATCCCTTATGTATCCCCCCATGTTTTCACCTTCATTGTATTATCACCTGACCTAATGCGGGTATAAAATCAACTAGTATTGTAAGATCTGTTCACTTGAGAATGAACCATGGAGGTTCGAAACGTCGTGCAAATTATACAAATAAGTGTATTACACTCTATAGTAAATCACTTCTTTTCTTCACCTTAAAAGTACGAAAATGAGTTTTGGAGAACTCCTATTTCAATTAAGCCCTGATGCTAAGAAAATAGTTAGAGGGATAGAAGCCCTAAACCAGAAAATAATAAATACAGAATATGCGGTCATATTCAATGAAACATGTTTGAAAGAAAACCTGCTGCCAGTATACACCAATATATATAGATATAGATATAGTATGTAAAAGAGTATATCGTACAGTATTTACATAGAATTGCGATATGCAGTAATTTAAGAGTTTGTTACTACAATGTTTATATATTTTTTAAATACTTTACGATTTTTTTACGTTAAATATGTTTGTTGGCATTTGTTTTGCATTTGCACATTTGTTATTAATACTTACATGTTTAACATTAACAAGATGACACTTTATTCATGGTAATTTCATATTAAGTATTTTGTAAATGTTGTTCGTGATTTTTGCTTATTAGGTACGTCCTCCCAGTTGTCTTTCAAATGAAAAACAATCCTCTTAAATATCCTCTCTCCTAACTGAGCCTTCACATGTTTCATATCTTTCCCTCATATCTGTCAGCTTCTTTATGTTTATAAAGAGAGATACGTATGAATAAGCCTGTAATAGCACTGTTAGTACTCGGTAGTACTTCTGCAATCATTGATGCTGCCTTTTGTATCACATCTCTCTCATTGCCACCACCTCCATAACCCACTATCACTCACCTGATCAACACTTCCTTGTCTTGCACTAAGGGTCCATAACCCTCTAATAGCAATGTGAATAGCCTGAAACCTTTAACACCCACTATCATCTACCTACCTACTCTCCATCATTACTGATATATTCCATGAATACACTTTTAACCGTTTATCACAACCCCCATCCACAACTAAAGCTCCTAGCCATCTCTGTGCCAGCCTCCATTACCACACCATCATACAGTTATAGGTCTAGGTACTTTGATCATGTTTATACTTGTCTTGATTGTCACTAACACAGTACAGTACTATTTTGATATCCCACTGTCTCTTTGATAGATACCAGTTGAAAGAGGAGGGAGTACTGTGTATAATATTTATTATAGTATTGATATTTTGTGAAACAATTGCAAGATGTATTTTCTTTAGAATGCTGGAAATACACAATACCTTGTAATTTCCAGTTGGTCTTTGTCTAGTTAGCTTATTGTATTCCTTTGGTGTGGCTTTGTTATTCCATATGAATGAATTGCTTTATGATTAATGCCATTCATTGCCCAAAACAATATTGTTGCACGTGCCATGAGAACTGCGTAACACCTGTACTGTTGTTTCTTGCTGCTTCCTCAGCCCCGACTCCATCTAGTACTCCATGCATTAACTGAGTAAAGTCTAGATTTAGCTGTGCATCAGTTCCCAGTCTGTACCTCATTCAGTAGTATCCTGAACTTTAATATTCCATGCTTTAGCAGTTTTTTATCTTAAGGTTTAACCCTACAAACATCCCCCAAGTTATAGCCTTCTGTCTTAATAGCTAGAAATTTGTATCCCAGTCTGTAACCACTGTACATAACCCAAGCAGTAACAGAAAGTGGCATGTTGTGTGTTAAACATGAGAGTAAGGAGTAAGCCCAAATTGCTGTAGTGAATGATAGTCTACTAATTTAAGGTATCTTAGACTGTAGTTGACTGCAACCCTGACCAATGTATACGAGTTATTTTCCAAATTCCTAAATGTGAGTAAATAGAATGATGCTAAAAAGAATCTTAAAATAATTGGGTGTGACATAATTTGGCATTATGTGTAAGACTGCAAACCCAAGATTAATATTAATAATAGCCTTAATCTTGACATTTCTGTATAGAAATATTAATCATTTTCTTCAGATTTCATTATGGAAATACTCATTGAAAGTATTAGCACTACTCTGTTACTTTCACACAGCCAGTGTAATACTTCAGAGTTACTTTAAACTAAAATACAAGTGGCATTAACACTTAAAGATCAGCGCTTACCATCCATCTGAAGGCATAGAGGGATTGCACTACATAGAGATTTAATTTTGTGCACAAGTGTTAAAAGTATTATTCAACACCAAGTAGTTCTATACCTGTCAGTATTTGTGTCATCACCGAAGAGGCAGGCTTGATCTTTTGTGTGTGTAGTTTCTTAAAGAAAAAGCCAGTGTAAGGATGGTTTTATGAAAATACAGGCAGATTGTGAATGGTTTCCTATGTAAAATACTATGATGGCTTAGAGGCTAAAAAAAACAATTTTGGGCAACCAATTCATCATGAGTTTCATGATAAAAATATAAAATTCCAATGATTTCTTTAGACCATATATCACAGTAAAATATTTGATGAATTAGACTATTTTAATATGCCGTTCATAACATCACAATTTATCACTATGATAAGAACATCTTAGAAAGTATGAAATGTAGATAATATTGAATATTGCAGAACTGTGTGTGAATTGCATAAAACTATAACTATACTGGCTAAGTGTTGTTCTTATAATTAATTTAATTCAATCGTTCATGCACATTTGTAATGCTCTGCATCATTGTCTGAGCAGCCTGTCCTCTTAAGTTGTCACAACATCACAAAAATGATGTACTAAATTTTCCAGTCCTAATGTAACACAGGACCCATGAATAAAAAATGCATTAGCCCATCTATTTTGTGAGCTGTTATGATTTACAATACATCATGTTTTGACCGTTAGCGATTTATTCGTCAAAATGCGATGTACTGTTCGAGAAGACAAGCTGGTTTGAGAGCTTGGCAATGCTGAGTGACTGTGATGAAAGCAAATTTATAGTGAAAATACTAAATGTTTAGTTCATTTAACGTTTCATACAACTTTTTGTAATGTTAGATATACTGAGGTAGGAGACTATAGGTAACCCCCTCAATCACCATAATTAGATTGCAGCATGCTTAGTTATTATCATTTTAGTTATATTTTTAATATAAATTTTTTTCAATAGTGTCAGATGATATATACATTTAACATGGCTATTAAACATTTTATCTCCAGGTGATAACCTAGGATGTTTTGGAGGCAGTAGAAAAAAGAAAGAGGCAGTGGGTGGGGCGGTAAAAGAGACCACCACTGGGCAGCGGACAACTGGACCTCGCACAGAACCCTTAAGGGGCATGGAACTTCTCTGGCAACCTGAGGTAGTAAGTACCCAACCCTATCCCATCCTAACAGAATCCCACACCGACTTATTAGACACAACCACACCATAACAACTTTTTGTCTTCTGAAGGGTTGTTTCAAGGTGGGATTGAATTGGTAGAGGGTTGTTTATTGGGGAGAAGTTATGCATCACTTTGTAATGGCTTCATATATTTTACATTGTATATTTTATTCAAACTGAATTGCTCTAGTGAATTGCCAATTTAAGCTGTAATTGTGCATTTATCTGTAGTTTGCAAGAACATTATAATTTTGTATCAAGTTTTAGTGCATTTTTTTGCTGTTATACACGGGGAGTATTCAATTAAGAAATTATGATTCGAGCACAATTTTTTTTTTGGCTTATGTTCTTGTTTTCTCACAAATAGCTCACTCAGGGATGACTTGAAAACACAATACTTGAGTTCCTCTTCCTTCACTTATGATTTTTATTGTAAATCTATTTGTCAATTTTTATGTAGTACACAAATGATGGGTGGCCACTTTTGACATATCAAAGCTTGTCTGTGTGTGTGTGTGTGTGTGTAAATTTTTTGGCATATGGAATTTTTAGGGTTTTATTAGTTGTATTCTCACCTTTATTTGGTGCTTCATTTTTAAATTTTTAGTATGTCATAAGTCAATATATCTGTATGCCTTGATTTTTGTTCACGCTTATTAATCATTTTTATATTATACTGTATCTGCCATGAATCATATTTATATACAGTGTTAAATTCCCCACTGCCATTCACATTTATTTTTTGCCCCTATAAGTGAGATCATTGCTGCAGAAAGTTGAGTCCTGCACTGTCCTTAGACGTTTTGCATCGTGATTGATCTTCAGGTCCAAGTGTTTAGTTTTCTCTCAGAATGTGCATGGATAAAATTGTACTTAATGTTCACGGCTCTTCAACTGCCACATGTGTTGTATATGGTTTCATGTTGTGTGTGTTTAAGTGTTGATTTAGGTGTACAGTTACATAGTGTAGTTACAGAATGAGAGCTCCGGTCATGGTGTCCTATCTTCCTAGTACACCTCATGTGGTATTTTGAAGTGTGTGTGTGTGATTGTAATTACCTAAGTGTAATTACCTAAGTGTAGTTACAGGATGAGAGCTACGCTCGTGGTGTCCCGTCTTCCCAGCACTCTTTGTCATATAACGCTTTGAAACTACTGACGGTCTTGGCCTCCACCACCTTCTCACTTAACTTATTCCAACCGTCTACCACTCTATTTGCGAAGGTGAATTTTCTTATATTTCTTCGGCATCTGTGTTTAGCTAGTTTAAATCTATGGCCTCTTGTTCTTGAAGTTCCAGGTCTCAGGAAGTCTTCCCTGTCGATTTTATCAATTCCTGTTACTATTTTGTACGTAGTGATCATATCACCTCTTTTTCTTCTGTCTTCTAGTTTTGGCATATTTAATGCTTCTAACCTCTCCTCGTAGCTCTTGCCCTTCAGTTCTGGGAGCCACTTAGTAGCATGTCTTTGCACCTTTTCCAGTTTGTTGATGTGCTTCTTAAGATATGGGCACCACACAACAGCTGCATATTCTAGCTTTGGCCTAACAAAAGTCATGAACAACTTCTTTAGTATATCGCCATCCATGTATTTAAATGCAATTCTGAAGTTAGAAAGCATTGCATAGGCTCCTTGCACAATATTCTTAATGTGGTCCTCAGGTGATAGTTTTCTATCTAGAACCACTCCTAGATCTCTTTCTTTATCAGAATTCTTTAAAGATTTCTCACATAATATATAGGTTGTGTGGGGTCTATGTTCTCCTATTCCACATTCCATAACATGACATTTATTAACATTAAATTCCATTTGCCAAGTGGTGCTCCATATACTTATTTTGTCCAGGTCTTCTTGAAGGGCATGACAATCATCTAAATTTCTTATCCTTCCTATTATCTTAGCATCATCAGCAAACATGTTCATATAATTCTGTATACCAACTGGTAGATCATTTATGTACACAATAAACATCACTGGTGCAAGAACTGAACCCTGTGGTACTCCACTTGTGACATTTCTCCATTCCGATACATTGCCTCTGATTACTGCCCTCATTTTTCTATCAGTCAGAAAATTTTTCATCCATGATAGAAGCTTACCTGTCACCCCTCCAATATTTTCCAGTTTCCAGAACAACCTCTTATGTGGAACTCTGTCGAAAGCCTTTTTTAGGTCCAGATAGATGCAGTCAACCCAGCCATCTCTTTCCTGTAATATCTCTGTGGCCCGATCATAGAAACTGAGTAAATTCGATACACAGGATCTTCCTGATCGAAAACCATACTGTCTGTCTGATATTATATCATTTCTCTCCAGGTGTTCTACCCATTTAGTTTTGATTAGCTTTTCCAATACTTTCACTATTACACTTGTCAATGATACAGGTCTATAATTGAGGGGGTCTTCCCTGCTGCCACTTTTGTAGATTGGAACTATGTTAGCCTGTTTCCACACGTCTGCTACGATTCCTGTACACAGGGATGCCTGAAAGATCAGGTGAAGTGGAATGCTGAGCTCAGATGCACATTCTCTCAGAACCCATGGTGAAACGCCATCTGGGCCAGCTGCTTTGTTCCTCCCGAGCTCCTTTAGCATATTTTCCACTTCATCTCTAGACACCTCTATCCGCTCTATGTTGTTCTCTGGAATTCTTATTGTGTCTGGTTCTCTGAAGATTTCATTTTGTACAAACACACTTTGGAACTTTTCATTTAATGTTTCACACATTTCCTTTTCATTTTCCGTGAATCTGTTTCCCATTTCCAACCTCTGGATATTATCCTTTACCTGCAATTTGTTGTTTATGAATTTGTAGAATAGGCCCGGTTCTGTTTTACATTTATCTGCTATCCCTTTTTCAAAATTTCTTTCTGCCTCTCTCCTTACTGCTGTATAATTGTTTCTCGCATCTTTGTATCGCTGGTATGTTTGGGGGTTTGGCCTCTTCCTATACTGATTCCATTTTTGTGTCTTTTGGTCTCTTGCCCTCTCACAATTTCTGTCGAACCAATCCTGTTTTCTGGTCCTGCATCTCTGTTTTGGTATAAATTTTTTTGTGCCTTTATCATATATTTCACAAAACTTGCCATACATCTCATTCACTTCCTTGCCTAGCATCAAGTCTGTCCAATTATACTCACTAAAAAAATTTCTAAGGTCACCATAATGTCCTCTCCTGAAGTCTGGTTTTTCAACTGCTTCAACCTCCTTATTTTCTTCCAGCTTATAACGCATTGCATACTTTATTCCCAAAAAGACATGGTCACTTTTACCCAAGGGAGGAAGGTACTGAATGTCAAATATCTCTTCCTCCTTCCTGGTAAATATCAAATCTAGCATGGAGGGAACGTCCCCTTCCCTCATCCTCGTAGCTTGTTTAACATGTTGATACAAGAATGTTTCCAGGATGAGGTCTACAAATTTACAGGTCCAAAAATCTTCTGTTTTAGCTTCATATGCTTCCCAGTCTATGGATTTCAAGTTGAAGTCACCGACTATCAACAGTCGTGATCTATCGTTATCCGCTCTCGCTATAATCTCTCTCATTATTGTTATAAGACCTTCACGTTTACTATCTAGCTCCTCCTTTGACCATGTGCTGCTTGGCGGTGGACTATATGCATTTATCATCATTAGTTTATCATCCTCATAGCAGATCTCTAGTGCTATTATGTCAACTTCTTGTGGATTGGCAGTCATTATTTCCTTCACCTTTAGGTGTTCTTTTACCAGCACAGCAACGCCACCGCCTTTCCTAATTTTTCTGTCCCGTCTCCAAATTGAGTAGCCCCTTGGGAATATGACCTCATTTAAAATTACATCTTCAAGTTTTGTCTCCGTGAGTGCAACAATGTCTGGTGTCTGCAGCTGTATTACATCACTTAACTCCAGTATCTTCGATCTCACTCCATCTATGTTGGTGTATGCAATCTTCAGGAACTTGTTCCCCCTCTCCTTATTCTTCACTCCCCCTCTCTCTATTGATTTTGTTGGTTTGCCTTTATGTACCACTTTACTGGTTTGCCTACCCCTATCACTTTGTAGAAAAAAGAATTTATTTCTTCTTCATTCCTGCTCTCATTTAAATGTTTTGCCTCGGCGAGGTTCAGTTTCAGCTTCTCTCTATCTTCTTTTGAAAGATCTCGTCTTAACGACCACCCTTTCCCATCCTCATCCCTTTGCAATTTTCTAGCATTCCTTAGTACTTCTTCCATCTGTTTGGCACCGTTTAGGGTGATCCTCAAAGGTCGATCTTTCCCTTTTACGTACCTGCCTATTCTCCTGTAGTCGCACACATTCTCTCTGTTTGTAAGACCTTCCACGAGGCCAACAATTTTATCTACTACTTTAGCTTCTTCTACAGCTCTTTCTGACCTAGATGTTATCGCCTTTTCTTTGCAGCCAAAAATGATCAGGGACTTACTCCGATCAACTGTGTTTTGCACCAACTTCGGGTTAGATGCCAATTCTTTCCTCACTTCTAGCCTAATGTTTGTTTTATCTTGGTTGCTGCAGTGTTTGACTTCCTTTACTGCTTCTTCTATTTTTTCCTTCTCCTTGGCCACTTGTGCATAAGTGAGTTGCATATCTTTCTTGCACTGTTCTATTCCCTGTGTAACTTCCTCCATCTGTGCTGACAAAAGCTGTTTCTCCTGTTGAATTTCCTTGCCTAACCTATTGTAGTCATTTATGTTTAAATTTACTTTAACTTCTTCCAAAGCTATTTTTAAGAGTTTATTTTCTTCTTCCATGGCTTTGCAATTTGTTTCCAATTGATTCTTATCCTTGCGCAAGTCTTTCACTAAACCCTCAAGACATAAAACTTTGCTATTCAAATGGTCATTACTTTCTTTCAATTTACTAATTATTTCTACATGAGAGTTCACTATAGTATCTAAATTTACCAACTTGTTATGTAGACTACTAATATCAATGCTTTCTTCATTGAATCCCTCAAAATCAAGCTCTGTTTTGTTTTTCCCCTTGCCAGTGGCCATCTTGAATGTTCTTCTCTGCACTGTAAACACTAGGGCAACTTTTTCTCATCCGATTCTTCACTTCCCTTAGCACTTTCCTGTTATCTCACCTATTTTTCAAGAGCACTATACCTTTATGTTCTGTGGGACACCACTCACTACCATCAACCTGTACTACAATACTTAGGATTGTTGAAATATGCTGGAGCTCCTCTGCTGCAAGTGTTGACCCTAGGGGTGCCACCTTTTGAATTTGTGTGTGTGTGTGTGTGTGTGTGCGTGTGCGTGTGCGAGGCATTTCTTCAGTAGTCCACGATTTTGTTGTTTGTATTTGGTTTTGTCAAAAAAAGTCAACACCATAAAATCAGTGTAAATATTCAGAGCAAAATATAGCTTGAATAATATTAAAACTCCTTTGGAAAGTCATTTTTTTCCATAATAATTTTTTTTTAGATTCTTGTACAGTATATCATGTTAATCATTCTTGTATATTTCTGTGCTGATAAAGTTACTTGGTATATCATGCTTAAAAGTATGTCAATGATGTAGAACTGAAGTTTTCCTAATATTAATGTTAACCTTTACCGTCTAATAGAATCTATAAGATCAGTCCTGTTGATTTCAACGTATATAAGAGACATATGATACGACAAGGTTCATGAGCTAAACTAGATTACAAAGGAAAAATTGCAGTTGTGATTAGTTGGAGAAACTGTCCTCATCCATTCATAAATTATTGTGAATATTAGAGGAATGCCTGGTTGAAACTAAACTTTATTGATGATGATTCACCTGCAAGGGCTTCATAAAATTTTATCATAGGATTTGGTTATTCAAATGTTACAAGAGCCCCAACTCTCTCCTTACCTATTTAGTCTTTCTACAGCAATGATATGTGATCTAGCCCTTATAGTTTAGTCCCTTAAATAATTGTCCACATTAATCACAAAAGGCTATATTCCTTGTTTTATTCAGTATTGGTATACTGAAAATACTAATCTTGACTGAGAAAGATGATATTTTATACAGTATTAAGCTAGCAATGGGGTGCATTATATGTAGCACATTTTTAATATTTGAATGCTTATGTTTTAGTAAAGTTTTAAATACTTATGTATTTGAGTTGTGCATTTATCAATATAACTGGACACCACTGATCAGAATAGTCTTATGGTACAGTGTTGTTGGTACTCTAAAGTTCATGGAGATTCTTTTAAAACAGGTTCCCCAAATCTTGCTGTGCACACCTAAATCCTATTTTTCTAGATGCATATCATGTGTACAGACACACCCCTGGCCACTGTCAAACATAACTTTAGTAAATATATAATTATCAGTCACTTGCTGATGTAAGTGTAGCTGTGCTTCTATGATGATATTCTCAGCTAGATCTCTCTCTAGCAGATAATTAATATAAATGTATACAGTCATAGTGCAATACAAAATGTTTGTTTCCAGTTGTCACTAAGGATGTGCTCACATTGTGAAGCATAATAACTCAAATGAGGTGTCCAGACACGATGTAAATGACATGAGTTCGTACATTCATTTACATGAGTTTTACAGTAGATTTTAAAGACTTAATTAGTATGCTTACCCATAATAAAAGTACAGAAATGATTTCTTATACAATATTAGCATCTTAGTTTTTGTACCAAAATTTCTTGTGCCAAGTTTTTCAGTTGCAATGTACTTAATTGTTTTTGTTTTTGAGAATTATTTTATAAGTATTAATGGAATACTGTAGTTATGTTGAGCTTATCATGTTGCATGCAATTTTAGTTAGAACACTTAGGCTTTTAAATACTGCAGCAATAAGTGAATTTTTATAGACAGTTATTTACTTATTTGCTGCCTATGATAGTCTTACCTAGATGCCTTCATTATTAAAGTAAAATTAAAATTGTCATAGATTTGTTGACATAATTTCATGAAGCAAGTGCATGCTTCTGATCCCTAGTTACTGTCTGCAACAGGTGGTAGGACCATATCTGGCATTACTCTCCGACTGTAGTAACCCAGAGACCTTGGAGGCCGCTGCTGGAGCGTTACAGAATCTTGCCGCCTGCTATTGGCAGCCGAGTATAGATGTGAGAGCTGCAGTAAGAAAAGAAAAGGGGTTACCTATATTAGTAGAATTATTGAGGATGGAAGTGGACAGAGTGGTGTGTGCAGTTGCAACAGCCCTCCGCAACCTTGCCATCGACCAGAGAAACAAAGAGCTTATTGGTAAGAAAATTTGTACAAGTTATGTGAAGCTTATAAACCCTATCAGCATTTTATAAAATATTGTTGACTAAATGTGATGCATGCTTGGTTATATGATGCATGAAGTGTTTTTAGTTTAAAACCAGTAAACCAATAATGAATTCATATGTATAGTTTTTGAAGCATAGATTTCAATGTTGTTAGGAGGTTAATAAAACAAAGCATTTTGAGATAGCAGACACTGATGAGGATTTGGAGGGCAGACTACAGATAACAGCATTTTTTTTTTTTTTGGCACACAAGAGTAAGGAAGAAATCAAGGGAAGCATTATTGTGGTGGGATAGGACACAAGACATACCCTGTAAAGAAATAATGTAACTCATAAATGCTCTATAGATAAAATGTTGTCAAGATAACATAGGAAGATGTGTTAAAAAGATTAATAACAAGTCTAGTTATGATGTAACTAATGAAAATTTTAGAATGGAATTGGGTGAAGATAGTACGGCAAATATCTGAGGTTATCTCAAGAAGATAACATCACCGTTTCTTACATTACTTCTAGCAGCAGCTTCATCCTTACAAGAAATATATAGTATATTTAATACTAGAGAAATATATCGGGTTGAATAATACATTTTATAGTATCAGATAAAAAATAGTAACTAATGATTCTATACTAGAAATTGATATCAGCAAGGAATTTGTAAGCAAGTTGAGCTGTTTCGAAACAAAGTAGGCATCATAAATAAATGTACCTACTTGCAATGTAGTGTGTGATTTGTTTAAAAAGTTTGTGATTCTTGATGTGAGTGCAAGATGTGACAGTGTAGTGTTCTGGGTATCAATTTATTTTAAATAAATTCCACCCGTAAAGCATGTCTCATTTTTTTTTCTATCTGATTGGATAAAAAAAAAATATTTTTAATGAAAATACTTGTTTAAATTTATTTTCCTCATTTGACCTAGCATTGAAAAAATGTATATACTTTATACACTACTGTGTTCCTGAGAAAACTTTATGTTCACTCCTACAGGTAAATACGCAATGAGAGATTTAGTTCAAAAATTGCCATCTGGAAATACCCATGACAGTGGCACCAGTGATGAAACAATTGCTGCTGTTTTAGCCACTCTGAACGAGGTTATAAAAAAGAGTGCAGAATTTTCAAGATCACTATTGGATGTCGGAGGTGTAGAAAGGCTGGTTAACATGACGCGGCATCGAGGCCGTTACTCCGTTAGGGTTGTTAAATTTGCCTCACAGGTGAGTCATTTTTTTAACTAGAACAATATTATTATTACAAAGTTTGGCTTTGTATTTTGGATTTATGTAATTGGGGATGTATTTGAGATACTTGTTGGGGCAGCCCATCCTCCTGTTTAGGTAGTGCTTAGAGTAACGATGAGGACCATTGTACGTATATTGACGTAAAAAGGCAATTAGAAAGTTGAAATCGGTACTACTGAATTTGGACAAACCAGAAAAGTTTTTGTACTGATGTTGAAAAGAAAACGTAACTTAATCTAACCTTCCTAGGCCTAATACATGCTAACTGATGCCTAATATAGTACATATGCTATACTAGGCCTAGGAATATTTAGGTTTAGTTTTTAGCCTTATTATTTTTGGACTATAAAGTGAATAGTACCAAATTCTGCCTAATTGTCCATTACGTCTATCTACAACGGTCTACACAGTAATTACAAAAAGTACTACAGTATCTAAATAGGAGGATGAGTTGGTTTGGGGTGTGGAATGTGTCTTCAAAAATGTAATGCCCAGAATTGTAATGTTAATTTTATAATGTACTGTAAGTATGTTGTTTACATTAAAGTGAAGACTGGATTTTTTTTTTACAGTTTTTATGAAACGACTCTTGTGTTAAAGTTTATATGACATGAATGAAGTGGTGTTTGACTTAATACAGTACATGTAGTTGGTCCTTGATCTGGAAGTGTGTTAGAAGAATCTTAATTCATTAATTCACATTAGTTGATAAATGTGAGGCTTAATAAAAAGGAATGTTTAGTGAACAGTTTCAACTCGTTATAAAATGATACAAAAACCCGTGAATGTGAATTCATTTGGGTGACTAATTTGTATTACCGAATTCTTAAAGTACAGTATATAATTCATATCAAGGGTTCTTGTACATCCAGGCATAGAAGTTGTCTGTGTCTGCACCCTCCTGTGGAAACAAAAACAAAAATTGTGGATTTGGTCATTATTTTAGATTCTTTTGTTTGTTTCACGGTTAATACTGTACATGGCATAACAAAATAAATTTTGTATTTCATCATCACTTTTCTTCATAAAATGGCATGAGTTCAGGGTAAAAGTTGACCATATTCCAGACCTTCATTTGGAGACATGGCAGCAATATAGTATATAGCTATAGTATATAAGCACACGGAACTTGCTGGTACAATATAGTACCAGCAAGTTCCGTGTGCTTATATTGGCCTTTGATCCAAATAAAAAAAAAAAAAAAACTTCTAAAGTCTTGTTAACTTACCCATTTCACTCTATTCTCTCAATTTGTCTGTTATAGAAAATTATATATACTGTATATATATTGAAGGCAACCAAGAAAACTTGATTGAAAATTGGTAATGTATAGTAAATACAAAAAATATGTTTTTCTACTGAATGGGAAAAACAGATAGGGGAAATATTTGTATACTGTACCATAATAGTAATTCCTGCAAGTGTGAAAGCATTAATATTGATAGTACAGCCTCTAGAAATACCTGTTTGTGAGCCAGAATACCAACCTTAAGCGATTGCCAGCAAAGTATGCACTTGAAGTACTGGTACTTTAATTTTAAGAATTGTTATAGGAATGGGAAGTTTGAAAGTTTTGTAAAACATTTCTCTCGTAAATTGAGAGCTGTATTTTGTGATAATTACCTAAGTGTAGTTACAGGGTGAGAGCTATGCTTGGGGTGTCCCATCTTTTCAGCACTCTTTTTGTCCAACAATGCTTTAAAATTACTGACAGTTTTTGATGTAACACTGCAGGTGCTGTTCTCTATGTGGGGCCATCAGGAATTACGTGAAGTGTACAAAAAGGCGGGCTGGAAGGAGCAAGACTTTGTAAGTAAGAGTGTTGCTGCACGTAATGCTGCTTCAGGTGGTGCCAATTCACCAACAGCTAATAATACCCTCAACCGGCCCATGGCCTCTCAAGGTGGCACTAGGTATGAAGATAGAACTATTCAAAGGGGACAGGCGAAAACTCACCAACGATATGCACAGGTCGGTTTGAATTCACTGTAATTCCAATTTTGTAATACTGTTGTGTTTGAACGTAAAACTCTCCTCAGGCATTTACATCACTGATACTTGTACTGTGTAGATTTAATTTTTAATATTAAGACATTAACGTTTAGTAGTATGTATATGGAAGTCATTTATGTTTTTGTTTTGGAAGGGGTTATTGTACCATGGAACCATCACTTAGGGTAATAACATTGTATGAAAATTTTTATAACCTCAAGCATAAAAAAAAATATATACATATCGGGTCCAGATGCTTGTTTGGAAGATCAGTAGACCTTACTAAACATTACATGATTTGGGAACTTTTTCTAGTCACCTGAAATTTGGCAATAGGACCAAAACTGAGATTGTCTCAGCAAAAGGTGTAATGTTTGTGGAAGGGTTAAGTGGTGGTATGAGGCATGAAATGACCGAAATCTAACAAACGATTTTGTTTCCGATTTTAATTCTCTTATAACTTTCAGGGTCAAGAATTGCCGATGGCAGATATGGGGTACGGCAGCAGTGGTGGGATGGGTCCTCCAACTGGCGGGGTAAGACTGTACCCACCTGTGCAGGTAGGTGACCTCTCGCACACCAACACCACCACCCACTCGCACAAGTAGCACTTGGTTCTTTCTCGTACTAATATTTCCAAGTGGCATTGTAATTTCAGATGTAACTGAGACTATGAGGTTCTTACCTTAGAAAGTTAAAAAAAAGTACAGTATATAACTGTTAATGTATTAGTGTAAATATTTGTTTAAAATTTCAAAATAAAGGAGACCTCATTTGAGGCATTTCTTGAGTAAATTAGCTGCTGTCATTTTTGTGGCTGCAAGATGACCTGGGGCTTTGAAGTGACTCATTGATATTGATGTAATTATAAGATGGTGTTTATTTAAACAAGGTAAACACCAGATCAATTAACACCATTAACTCAGCATGTATGATGTTTTTGTTTGTTTCATTTAAGTAATTTGCTTTGAATAGCATTATAATTTCTTTATTATTTTGTAATTCAATTATTTCTGATTTTACTTTGAACACTGCATTTCTTGACATAATATAGGGTAAGCCCTCCATATGACATATTTATTTTGCCTTGTTTAATTTTCTGCAACTCTAAAATAAAGGTACAGTAGAAGTTTTAAGCTTTTCTTAGTAAACATTATCATCAGATATTCATGTAAAGTTTTATGAAGTTTTTGATGCAAATGTTGTAGTGTATAGTGTTAGTCTGTTTAAAAGGCCTGTTCAACAAAGCTCCTATTTTGAGTATCGTAACATTTGGTTTCATTGCCATATACTAGCAGGAGGAGCTTATATATGCATTAACTTAAAAATTGCTATCTGAAACTCTATAAATCTTTAATACAATTTTTTGTTAATTTTATAATTTAATTGGAGGTTAGTTACTCGTTGCTTTCTATAAGTTAGGATTTTCGTTATTTTTTTAACTATTTAACCAAAAATGTGTGTATCGTTAAAAATTATGGGCTTACCCTACAACATACTTTTTCTATTGTTGTTGTTGATGTAACTGGTGATGGTGTTGGTGTGTGGTGCATGAGGGCGGGCCCAGCAGCTGGCCTGCTCTGTGGGTTGCATGCTCTCACTAACGTCACCACCTGCACTCTTGCATGATCTTAAATGCTGCACTCTTGAGTTTTAAAGGTGTTGAACAAATGCCCGCTGTACAATTGATGAGCCCCCATGGCTTCATCATCTCTCCAAGTAAGTTGTTAAACATTGTTGTCAGTCTACAGTACATTTGAATACATGTCTAGTCTGATGATGAAATGTCATTTTAGAAATTTACATGAGAGCATGCATTCTGTGAGAGGTTACCTTTGTTATATATTAATAAATAATAGATCAGTTAGTCTTTAAATTTAGTTTAACACTTGAAATACATCTGGCTTGTACACAATGAAAAATATAAAGTAAACATAAATATCACTGATTGCAACTGCATGGACAAAGATTAAATAAGTTACAAAATAAAAGCAAGGAATACAAGATGTGTTATCTGATACCATAACCCAAAAATGACCTGTCATAACAAGTCGCTGAGAGTTGGGTTATTGTACTTGTGTGGAGCACCTGAGCGAGACTGCAGGTCGTGGCTCGGACACCTGCTATATATACAGTACCTGGAAACCAGACTTCTAGGCAGTGACGTCATATGTGTCGACGGGAAAACTGGCAGACTAACCAGCTATAGCATGGCAGGGGTGGTGCATAGCCCTGACCAGTCTTACACTATCATGTTACTTACGACACTATAATTTATTTACATAAACAAAAGTAGTACAATATTACATTGTGTAATCGATGAATACAGCAGTAAAGAAGTTATTACCCAACATTTGAAGGGCACTCTCCTACACTCTGGCCTAGGGTAAGGGTGTTCACTCTCTTATGCCCCACTTAGATTTCATTGTGATTTGGGTGTGGCATAAAAGTGAACATTATTGCTGTAAACCAGAGTGTAGTTGGGTTGACTGAAAAAAAACATGGTTGGGCTCTGGTTTGGGGCCTCCAGAACTTTCCAGTGAATTCAGTAGAATTCCGGACTTCAGTACCATCATGGCCGAGTCGGTTAAGGAATCGCCACAACTTGAGTTCATCACACTATTGCCTCAAAATGATTTTTCATATTTATTATATATACTGTGTGTACTTACCTAGTTGTGCTTGTTGGGGTTGAGCTTCAGCTCTTTGGTCCTGCCTCTCAACTGTCAGTCAACTGGTGTAGAGGTTCCTGAGCCTATTGGGCTCTTATCATATCGCATTCCAGGTTTGATTCTCAACTGATGCATCTTTAGTCGAGCCTAGCTGCAGGCCTGGCTCAGGGAGTAAAACTCCAAGAACCCTCTCAAAGTATACCCAAGGTATACATGCAAATGAAATATAAAGACTATGTCTCCAATACAGGAATAAGTGCAAGAAATGCTAGCCACTTACCTGTATTTATTCTGCAGTCTCTGCAGAAATCGGCTATTGAATAGATACTAGGTGAGAATTGAGAAAGGGGTCTCGACTGAGATTTGAGTGACCCAGGCCAACAGTGTGTGTGGAGGGATAGCAGGGAAATGGTTGTTTGTTTGTTCAGTCTTTAAGAGTGATTGTTTGGTTTGCATTCACATTGTTTGCTCAACATAGCTCAACTCATTGCATCAAAATAGAAAACCAATTACAGTATTATGAATCTAGTGCATTCAGTTGAATTTTGCAGCAAGAGAGTTAAAAATACATGAAAAGGCTGAATAATAGCAACTAATGTAAAGAATATATCCGAGAATGATGAAATGGTGGAGCCCAGAGCAAAGTGAAAAGTGGAATATTGGTGAGTATTAGCAGTGTGATGCTGTGAGAGAGATGGATCATTTGTAGACACAGATTATGAGGTGTTTAGTGATTGTGCAGTTTGTGTATTGTATTTCACACTTGCATTACAGGCAGGTAAGAGAAATGCTGCGAGCTAATTTGATAAATTTAGATAAAAGATAAAAAGCACTAATTTGTTTGTGTTGTGTACAGATTGAAATTAAATGTTCATCTTACTCGTATTTTGAAAAATGCTGTTCTGAGTCATTGAATAAGATTTATTGTATATGACAGTTTTCTAGGAATAATATTCCAGGCAAGCATTAAGTGGAAGCAGTTTTAAGAGGATGCATAAAATTAAAGTAGAGCTTCCATGATGCATCAGTTTCAAGTGTAGCCCCTGCAGAATGTACAATGTAGCTCAACCTGCACATTTCAGCATATGTCAGTTAACGATAAGCATGGATGGGATAGACGTGTGTGTGTAAGCATAATCCACCCCATTTACAATGGGAGAAGTTAAAAGAACGTTACATAATGGTAGTATGACATCTCAAAGATAGCGAGCAACATTATTTTTATTGTGAAGCCTTTGAGAAATTACTTGGTGAATAAATAATGTAATATTAATATATATTTACTGGTATACTGGGAGAAAATTTCCTGTTAAATGTATTAAGGATTGGGGGTTGTTCTATAAGGATGATGTTTAAATAATGTTTCATGAATTCCATGAAGACAATACATTTTAAAGTTATTGTTTGCAGAATTTATAGGAAGTTGACATTGTTCTAAATAAAGAATATTATGATGGCTTAAAAATTAGAGTAGCACAATTTTATTTAATTGATATTGGTTTTGAATATTATGAATCATCATTTATAGGAATAACAACACCTTGTATTAGAAACATTTTGAAACTGTAAGACGTTTATAATTTCCTCCTTTATTGAACAATTATTTGATTGCATTCTATATGATTCAAGTACAGAGGAAAGAGGTAAAACAGTGACCACAAATATATATTAATGTAGATGATATATTAAATTTATTGACAGGTAGAAACTTTATTTTAGAAAGAAATCTAAACTTTTAAGAATCATAAATCAAATTTAGCTTGTGTCAAACATTAGGGTGAATTGTCCAAGTAAGGCTAGGTAAGGCTTGAGTGTGCACTGTAAGTTGCTTGATGCTCGTGCTACACCACAGGTGTATTGGCTTAACCCATATTTCTCTCTCTTCCTCCATAGGATATTGGAGTTCCTCAGCACTAACCCAGCGCTCATGTAATGGTTGGTTAGTTGAGTGGTTGGTTGGTTGGTTAGCTTCCAATTTCCTTTTATTGTAGTCCTTTGTGGTTTCTTGCTCTTTCTGTTGTACCTAAATATTCTTGAAGCTCTTGTATAATACTTAATCTGTATACATACAGTCAGTTGACATAACATTTGTAGATACTAATTTTGTGACTAATTTTGAGAATATTTATGTAAAGAATAAATCATACTAAAATTTCTTATTAACATCTTGTAACTATTTAAGTAAATTTTAACAATGTAATATGCTATAACAATTCTAATATTAGCTTACTGTAGAAATGCCATGTTTTGTCATATTCATATAATGAGAAAAATTGTGTATATAAATCTGTGCAAAATCAATGACTTTTTATATTTTGACAGTTGATAGAAATTTAATAGTTGCTTCTTCCTAGGGCAAACCAGGGGAACCAGTATATGCCAAGGTGAATAGGGACAAGAAGCGTAATCGACAGTATGATGGTCACGGTCCACAATATGGATCGTTGGGTGGAGCTGACGACTGGGGAGGGCCAGTTTACTCGGGTTCCCCCGCATCATCTCCCAACTTTAACAACAGCTCAAATATGAACAACAATAACAACAACAACAACAATAACAACAACAATAGCAGCAATGCCAGCAACAACAATGGGGTGCTTCTAGATAAAGGAGAGGGTCAGGCAGGAGATTCTTGGGTGTGAACTCTTAGATACTGTGGTGGACATGTCCCTGCTGCTCAGTTGTACATCAGGAAATGGAGCTGATCATCTGGCTGCCTTTCCCATGCATGTCCTGCTGCGCACTTACTTTCCAATGAGGTGCCACACAAGATTACAAGATGGTTATGTTCACTGTTGGAATTTTCTTCCACACTCAATATCCTGTTACTCAGTGTGACTTAAGAACAAGTTGCAAAGGGTGATAATAATAATTACAGTAATTCATCTTTTATGGTGTTATACAAAGTGAACTTTTGAGTGTGACTGCTGATGTTTTGTCTGTTACATTGATGTTGACGCTCGTTGTGCATGTTACGTGAACACTAGTTAGTGACAACTCAGTTCTGTTAAACTTCTTACATGATGTGTGATGGGGAAAAGGCAAAAGCTCAATTTGATAAGCATCCCTATGATATATTTTATAGAAGCACACGAATGGTGCCAAGAAACTTTATTACTTTGATACCTGTAAAGACATTATTGTATCAATTATTAATCATAGAGTGTTTATATACCTAAGCAACAAATTTGCTAATGGATGATTGGAGCAGGTCATGCTCACAGCTGCTCTTTGTAGACAGTTAATTTTCTACTGTTTCGTACTGACAATCCAAAGTGTGACCTTTGTGTTGGTTTGTGAGGAGTCAACCTGGCTCATAAACATTGATATGCGTGCGCGCTCGTGCACACACACACACACACACACACACACACATACACACATACCATAGTCTGAACAGTAGTAGTGTGTTTGTTTATTCTCTTGTGGTGGAGCATCACAATGGCTGAAACTTAGCAAGGCTGACTATGCCAGCACAAATTATAAGCCAGGTGTTTACAAAGAGGACAAGCATGAACTGAGTGTGTGTCAGAACCATAGATGGATGGAGAGAGGGTTGCATGTGAGGCTTTGGTGCAAAGATGGTGTTGCAGTGTTCAATTCCACAACAAATGCACTGCTCTTGGTCATATTATAGTGAATAGGTTGTTTATTGAGTAGAGGTTAACATTTATTGTATTGCCGTGCCTCCTGCCGGTCCTAGGAGTCTGATGCTTTGTAGAAGGTCAGTGTAACCTTTTAACAAGACCTTCTCCAAATACCTTTCTACCTCCCTAATTTCTTCCAGGTTCCCAAACTCTTCTCCCTGGTAGGAACATGCAGCTAGACATCTAGTTCCTTTTACCTTTCACAAAGGAAAATTTTGCTTTGTATAATACACAATCGTATAGGTTTTATAATTACAAATATTTTATAATGTGCACGGGGTCAACTGAACTTTGAGTAGCTACTGTGCTGTCATGTGTTTGTGTAATATATCTTGTAAGATGAATGGTCATAAATGCAACAAATTATTCTATAGAACACTTCATCCTATCTCAACTCATTGTGATAAATTTTAAAATTTTACTTAAGCAATTCACTTAACTCGTCTCAAAACTGCTTTATATGGTAAGCCTTTTCAAGTTTTTGTTAATCGTTTTAAATTTATTTTTAGCATTTTATCAGACTTGCACGTGCAATATTGCATACTTTTGCAGTGTTGGTTGTTGGCAGCAGAGGTGACACTAGCAAGGCTGTGTGATCCCAGGAACTTTCCTCTGCTTCGCCACCCTACAGTCTTTATCATTCTCAGGCTGCTATGACTCTTATGGGTTACCTTGATGTTCATATGTTGAAATAAAAATTTTGTTAAAAGATACTGTTGAATCCAAATGTAGGATTGTATGATAAGATGCTGTTGTATTGTGAGGAAGCCCAAGAGTCAGATCAGCACTGGCCAGCTCACTTTAGGTTGTCTCACATTCCAGGAGTAGTTTAGGTGATGCACACTCCAATTCAGAGAGGTAAGTGTTGACATGTGACTTTGATTCAAAGTTACATGTAACTTGTGGCAGAGGCAGCAGCAGGACACTGGACAGCAGCTATGAGGAGGATTGTGTTAAATTGTGTTAGCATGTAACCTTGCACACTCATAGGTGTAGGAACTCATGTGACACTGTATCCTCAGGGTGAGGCTCGACACTTCCTCCTGTTCTATCGGTATTGTCTAGTGCCAATCAGACAGCTCATGTCAACCAAGTCTGTCAGCTCAAATGGAGGGGGGCGGATCATCTCTACCCAAATCCGCCTACTTTTCAAAGGAAATTTCTGACATGTTTGTGTATATTTTCATTAGCAAATTTTAGACAGTGTAGTGCAGTTCATGTCGGATCATATAGCTGGGAAAGCCAGTTGGAATATGGGGTCACAATGTATCGGTAGACATCCCATCTCTTTTTAGACATTTTTGATGTTCATTACAAACATGATGCTTTTTTTGTACACTAAATATTTCCCTTCTATGTCCTGTGTAGAGTCTGCTGTTACACTCTTGTCTGATGAGCATTTACTTTCATTTGTCAGCTTGAAGCATTTTGCAAAGAATACGGCAGTGACGAAGATGTTATTGTTATGCATAATTCGCACAGATCTATGTTTGTCTTGCCTTGATGGTTGCTTACGTTTATTATGTTGGTTAATATATGCCTTATTTTATTTTCACATGATTGAGTATTCAGTAACAAAGGATTTCTAGTAAATGATATTGTATTGGGTATTTATACAATAAAGAGATAAAGTTTATAATTAATCTTATTTTTCACATACTGTAGACAACAACAAAGAAAGAAATGTATAATTATGATTGCTTATTATTAGCCAATTTTACATGTGTATAGTATCTAAAGCTTTTCTTACATGTATAGCATACATAGCCTTCCCGGTTTGGTGCCTTCTTTTGATAATTACTTACCTACATGTATAGCAGGACAATGAATGTATAGCCATATAATATGTATTGTGTAGATACACATAAGTACAGTACTGCCATACAACATGTGCAGTTAAACATGCATAGCAATGCAACATTTTGTAGATATACTGTACATAGGTGTACTGTACAGTCATACAAAAGAATTATAATATATTAAACATGCATGGATTCAAATTTTCTTGTTTCAGAGATGGTAATAATGGTTCACAGAAAAAAAAGTATCAAGTTAGTGGCTGTCAGAAATTGCAAATTACTACTACTACCCAAGATGCTAAAAGTTGCAATGTTACTATTACCCAAGATAATACTTGAAAGTTGAGGAACCCATATGTTTGTATATTCTAAAAGTAGCTTGTAATAGCACTGAGACCAATCAACAAGAACAGCCAAATTAGTCAAAACAGTGAGCCTTAAACTCCACAGATTGAAAGGTAAATGACAAGGTATTTGAATAAGATGTCTCAAAGCACGTGGAGCCGGTTGGCCGAGCGGACAGCACGCTGGACTTGTGATCCTGTGGTACCGGGTTCGATCCCGGGCGCCGGCGAGAAACAATGGGCAGAATTTATTTTACCCTATGCCCCTGTTACCTAGCAGTAAAATAGGTACCTGGATGTTAGTCAGCTGTCACGGGCTGCTTCCTGGGGGTGGAGGCCTGGTCGAGGACCGGGCCGCGGGGACACTAAAGCCCCGAAATCATCTCAAGATAATCTCAAGGGAAGCTGTCCTTAGATTTAAGGACACCAAATACTTAATGAAGTAAAACATTAATTAAAAGTCTTGTAACCAAAAGTAGCTTACAAGCAACAAATGCAAGAGTATTACATAGGTATTTGGTAAGTGGCCATAATTAAATACTTGACCTTTGGGGATGTGAAATTGAGGGACCCAGTTTGTAACTTTTGTTATGACAAGTTCTTGACAAATATTAAAAGCCACAAACTTTATCTCTTTGTAGTATTTATCAGGCTTTGCTGTTCATCATAAAATGGCATTATGGAAAGTATTCCAGTTCACATTGCAATTAGGAAAGAAGTGAAAGTATGGACAATGTTGCAAGAAAGATAAAATTCTAGATAACATGAACGTTTCAGACGAGCTAAGTTAATTTTTAACTTTTTATGGCACTTGTATACTAGGTTGGAGTAACATATATATATATATATGTATGTATGTACATACTGTATTAACAACCCAAATGCTATCTACCACTATTCTTAACATGGATGGCTACTACAAAAAAAAAAAAATACAGGCATCAAATTTGACCAGCCTATGGCCTGCCTTTTATAATATGAAATAGAAAACATCTTTGGTTCTGTTACATATTGACAACATAAGGCTCACTCATGGGTGTTTAATGGAATGAAAATGTTGATAGCAAACTGCATTGTTCTGCTTGGTCATCCAGCTCATGATTTTCAGGATAACTGAAAATTTTGCCTCCTCACTGGTCCTATATAATATGCTACTGAAAGGACAAGGAAGAAATATGATGAATGCAATGAAACATTCATGAAGATAATAGAAACTGTGGCCAAAGTGGCAAGGAGAATTAGAGCAAAAATCCTAATTCTTTGGGATTTTAACCTCAGGGAAATAAACTGGACAACAAAGAATCCTCATGGGGAAGATGAAACGTAGAGAGCAGGATTTGTGGACACTGAGGAAAAAAACTTCCTGTGACAGCACATAACCAATGAGAGGGAGGGAAGGAGGTAATCTACCAGCTACCCTAGACCCAAAATAAAAAAAATACTCAGATAACTTGTATTCAAATATGAGGTATCACTAGGAGCCAGTGACCACTGCATAATCTTGTTTGATTACATTGTAGAACAAAAAGTTGAAAACAAAGAGAGTGCACGAGGATTAGAGATTACAGTAAGTGGTTAAATGGGAAACTGAAATGTAATGAAAAATGGCAAAGGAGATGATGGAAGTTAAAACACACACATGCAAAGGCGCACTGGAACAGTTAATACCTCTTAGGAGGGTAGTGGATGAATAAATGGCTAACCCCATGGTTCAACAGTTTAAGCAGGAAAAAGAATACAAAAAAAAGGCATGGGGAAAACTCCATGCAAAGACATAGATATAAAGGCAAATAGGGAAGTGCTTAAAAGAGAGCCAGAAATGAGTTCACCAGAATCAGGAGTTTAGCAGAGCAGCAATTTCAAAATGACTGACAAAACCAAAGTGCCAACTTATGCATCTCTCTTTCCCTCTTTTTTTTTTTTTCCCCTCCCCTCCTTTAAATCAATCTCTCTCTCAGAAACTCAGAAAATGTAATAGTAAAAAAAATTATTAACATATTTAGGTATATTTGCATTTATGCAGCTACATAATGTGTGTCAAGACTAGCTATGTGATGCTAAAAAAAAATCCTAGTCTTACAGGATGAATAGTCATAAAGGGCAGATTACAAAGTACTGAAACTGCTAAATACAGTAACTCAACAAAAAAAACAACCTCTATTCAAAACTTTATGAAAATTGTTTAAGGAAGAGGGTGGGTGGGGGTAGGGGGGAAGTATTGCTATAGATGCCAATATTTTGTAGCGTGGCACTAGTGCCATACCCCCAACTAGCCCTTGATACTCCAATCCCCTGCCCTATGAATCATCATGGAAAGTTTGTGAGACTAGCCCCAAGCATTTGACCTCCAACTTAGGACAGACAGGCAGGCAGGCAAACTGACATTATCATTAATATATATATAATTTGATACAGATTATAATTTATAACTAATGGGCATTATTGTTGATAAATATAGTCCAAATTAAAATATAAAATGACATTCAAGTAAGTTTTACAAAACCAATTGAATTGAAAACAAAGATTAGTTTTTACCTAGTTTACCAATCAACTTCCAGCCTCAAGGAAAGCATAGGAGTTGCTGTATGATTCTTGATTTTATTTTTGTTGTGGAAAAGCACTCTTAGACCACATGAACCTGCACACCACAGGTCGACCTTCACTTGTCGAGTTAAGCGTCCCCTTCACTCGTGAGTGTACTTTCATCTTCCAGTGATTTGACAATGTGCGGGGAAACCCATGGTTACATCCTCGTCCATGTGCCCGGGGGCGCTTGACCCACCCGGCCTCACACCGGTGAGACACCCGCCGGACTCCGGCTGTGTTGTGAGAGCCTGAGATGTTGGAGAAAGAGAGACCTGGGTGCCGCCGGATACCCCTCTGTTATATCCAAATTACAGAGGATCTGATTGCAATGATTTCATTACAAGAAACAGCCACCAGAGAAACGTCAGCGTGTCCTCTTAACAAACGGTAAATATTACTTACACCTGCACTAAACACAAAATAGTGGAAGTATCAATTGTTTTGCACCAAATGTCTAATACAATAAACATACCAATCTGGAACAGTAGGAATAGGAAGATCAGTACGGTACGGTTCGATTCCGGCAGCAGGACGGACATTTCAGCTCTGGTTCCTTTCACCTGATGCTTCTGTTCACCTAGCAGTTGTGGGTTGCATCTGTGTTAGGTCAGTCTGTCTGTGGGGTGGGGGATGGGGGCTCGAATAACAGGCTTTCTGTCGCCTCCACAAGAAACGGGTAAGTTTTTGCTAAATTTGCAATTTTTTAACGTCAGGCTCCAATGTGTCATTAGGCCCAAATTTTAATATTATCACTTTTTAATCAGAAATAAATGGTTGGCCGCATTAACATTCCTTGGGCGATCTTCTTGTATTTTATAACGTAATTTTCACCACTCCAAGGCTATAGTGGAATGATATGACTAGTTCATATATAAATGACTTATGAAACTGCATTAATGAAGGAATGTTGTCTTCTGAGGATCTTGTAGAAAGTTTATTATTATAATAACAATAATAATAATTATATGTAGTGTAATATGCCCGTAGAGCTGCATAAGTGGACTAACTCGAGCATCATCCATTCAAAATCATCTCTCTACTCCACCCTTCAAAATGTATACCCGAAGGTTTATACGTAAATAAAGGAATTTCTAAATTAAATATAACAAAGAAAATACTAAGCGAAAAGATAATAATGTAATCACAAATCTTAAATTAATCAAATAAATATTCCACATTATTAAATTATATAGTGTTCAAATAATTAATTCCTGATAACCTCCAATCCATAATTAAGCCAATATATTTTTTTAATAAAAACTAGGCTGTATATTATTTTTGTAAATATCCTGATCATATTAAAAGCCGACTCGCATCTTAATTAAACTCATAATGCGAGCAAAATATAAGAAAAAACTTCCATTTTCCAGTGGCCGGGCGGCGCCGCCAACCCTTCAACGGATGTGAAAGTTGGCGGCGCCTGATGCACGATAACGCCACCACAGGACTGCTCTTGTTACCGCATCATGGAAAGTAATTGTTAAATGGAGTAATTAACAAAAGCAAACACGATTGATATTAAAGATAGTCGAGTTTCACATAATTTGGGAAAATTCGCGGGTAAAATTGAGCGATTCAAGTTGAGTTACCACCATGGGTTGAACTGGATAATTACGTCTATAATGACGTTTGTGCAAAATATGTACAAACTTCTTTACTGTTCATGTGTTTAATATGACAGTAATATGTGCAAATGTTACTATAATATCCTAGATATGTGGGTTTACTGACGGTATTTCCGACAAGACAACTGGAGAGAGAGACTGTGAGGGAGAGAGAGAGGGAGGGAGGGGGAGACGGTGGCTGGAAGCGTGCAGACGCCGCCACCGGTCAGTGTGATCAACGACACTGTGCTTGCAAGGTGCCTGCATCCTGCACCTCCACACACAACCCTCTGATCAACGGTACTGTGCTGCGAAGGTGCATCCAGCGCCGACATCCACCACCCCGCCCCATCTCTTGCTGCTGCTGGTACATTTACACCCTCGTTACACCGGTTAGTATAAATATTCCTTTATAATACTCAGGTTTTCAATATATTTGAAAGTAACTATTGTCTGTTTTTGGTATTGGTAAAATTGGAAGTGTTAATGCATACGATATATATCGTGTGTGTGTGTGTGTGTGTGTGTGTGTGTGTGTGTGTGTGTGTGTGTGTGTGTGTGTGTGTGTGTGTGTGTGTGTGTGTGTGTGTGTGTGTGTGTATATATATGTCGTACCTAGTAGCCAGAACGCACTTCTCGGCCTACTATGCAAGGCCCGATTTGCCTAATAAGCCAAGTTTTCATGAATTAATTGTTTTTCGACTACCTAACCTAACCTAACCTAACTTTTCGGCTACCTACCCTAACCTAACCTATAGAGATAGGTTAGGTTAGTTTAGGTAGGGTTGGTTAGGTTCGGTCATATATCTACGTTAATTTTAACCCCAATAAAAAAAATTGACCTCATACATAATGAAATGGGTAGCTTTATCATTTCATAAGAAAAAAAATAGAGAAAATAAATTAATTCATGAAAACTTGGCTTATTAGGCAAATCGGGCCTTGCATAGTAGGCTGAGAAGTGCATTCTGGCTACTAGGTACGACATATATATATATATATATATATATATATATATATATATATATATATATATATATATATATATATATATATATATATATATATATATATATATATATATATATATATATATATATATATATCGTGTTTGTAGTCATGGTATATGTTTATTCGAAACCTTTGGATAGATAATGGGGTTGTCTTCATGAACACGAGTGGATAAAGTAGTTGGAGAACACACTAGGTTACCTCATATCGTAATCTTAAGGGCCTATGGATTGACTATTCAATACTATAATGTTGATGAGTATGACTTTTCTTTTTCAAAGTCTCTGTGTTGAAGGCTAACTCTCAGGATTTAGTATAATTCGTTATAGCTTATTATAAGTTAACGGTAGCCCAGCTCGCTTCTCTAAACTCTATCATTTGTCTGGTGGGCGTTTCTTTCCGCCCATATGCATGTCATATCTAAACAAATCACAAATATTTATATTTTTGACATTAAAAAAAAATTGACATTTGAGATTTGTGATATTTTGGACATTTGACAGGATCTCACGATCCTGTCAGACCTGACAAGAAATAAAGGTGACTAGATCTAGTTCAATTTCATATTTGTTATATGCTGATTTAGGATAAGTTAGGATAAGGGCACTAAGACCATCCTCCTAAGGTTTCCCAAAGTGGGTGAGCGCGGAAGAGCACCATCTTGGCTTGAACGGGCTCACCATACCCCGTGCTACTTGGAACTTTTTGTTCCAGGTAGCAAATCTTAAACAACAACATCTTGGCTTGAGGGAACTGTTTGCCTCGGCGACTTACGTAAACACTCTATCATAATAACTAGCAATAAATAGCTTTCTAAACCCACATCTCAAATCTACAATAATCATCTCTCAAAGTTCATTTCATACAAAGAAGTAATTACGGACGTTTCAAAATACAAATTAACTCTGTAACATTATATATCTTATTTAAGTTAGTTATAAGTTAGTTTAAGTTTACTCAGGATGAGTGGCGCTGCTCAATAAACTCGCCCCTCGGGGCAATTTTTTTTTTGCCTATACAAATGTTTATGTTTATATAAAAACATAATTAAATTTACTTTCGTCGCACCTCAGTGCATGTAAACATCCTGATTATAAACCATGTTTAGCACTATTTAGGATTTAAGGTGGGATGGGGGCTCTGTAGGTGATTTTTGAGTACGTAAAATGATAGTACATGATAGTAAAATGATAGTACATGATAGTGAAATGATAGTAAAGATAGTAAAATGATAGTAAAGCAGCGATTTGGTGAAGCGTACCGCTGAACTGACCCGAAAAATTCACGTTTTGTGTAGACAATGAATCACCATAACGAAACTGAAGATATTATAACTAAACGGCGTTGTTTCTTCATTTTCTGCTGTGTGGTTTGGATTTCACGTTTAGTATTACTGAATTAGTCCAAATGACATTCTATTAAAATTGGAAATGTAACGAAAGAACCTAACTTAAGCTGTCCAAGCAGTTCTAAGCCTAATATATGTGCTGTACTAGGCTTAGGAATGTTTAAGTTTGGTTTTTAGCTCTCTTTCTCCGATTATAAAATTAACAGCACCAAATGTGAACTTTTTTGGGTCAAACTACACATTGTATGTCCGACCAAATAGTTACTATAAGTACTGTACTATTATTTTAGGATGAGTTGTATAATCCGGTGGACATTTGGCCCTCTGGATGAGTCCCGGGACGCATGAGTGACACTAAACTTATACGAGTCTTGAGATGCTGTGTGATAGCTAGCCTTGAGGGGCTCCCATATCCTGTACCGTAAAAGAGAAAGTGAAAGAGTCCCGTTCTGGTTAAGGATGGTCAGAGCGTCACGCACTAGGCTGGTTGATATCTTTGTCTTCCTGTCTCCCCAGGTCCCCGCCCCTCTTTCTTCCCCAGGTCCCCGCCCCTCTTTCTTCCCCAGGTCCCCGCCCCTCTTTCTTCCCCAGGTCCCGCATCTCTTTCTTCCTCAGGTCGCCGCCCCTCTTTCTTCCCCAGGTCCCCGCCCCTCTTTCGTCCCCAGGTCCCCGCCCCTCTTTCTTCCCCAGGTCCCCGCCCCTCTTTCTTCCCCAGGTCCCCGCCTCTCTTTCTTCCCCAGGTCCCGCCCCTCTTTCTTCCCCAGGTCCCCGCCCCTCTTTCTTCCCCAGGTCCCGCTCCCTCTTTCTTCCCCAGGTCCCGCCCCTCTTTCTTCCCCCATGGCTGGTATGATGCTAAGCAAGGGTGTCTGTGTATGGGCTAGGTTAGAATTATTATAATTCGATTTATTGTAATAATTCAATAATAATTATTGAATTATTACTGTAAATTATTATACGGCCCGTAATGGGGGTGAGCTTTGATTAGATGACTCCCTAGTATCAGGAAGTCTGTTAGGTTTATCGAGAAACCTATAGCCCACGGCTCATCTTTCCCCCAGGATGCAACCTACACATCAAGTACCTCTTGTGTACCTATTTACTACTAAGTGAACAGAGGGATCAGGTGTAAAAAAACGTATCGGAACGTCTCGTAAATTCTGGAGCTTGTTTAGGGCCTCGTGTAGTATTTACACATCTTTTGTTCTCACCTCTCACGTTCGTTCGCATCATCTGCAGTGTTTCACCATTCAGTTTACATGTGGGCGTAAGATACAATTAAATGTGAAATTTTGGTTTACTGGTCAGTGGGAGGAGGCGGGGTGGGGGGTGGGGAGAGTATCAGATGAATACTCATCTGATACTAATTAGTTGTATTCTAATTTGGTAGAGCAAGTTGTTTTTGTGGTTTTTGTGGTCATGTGAGGAATATTGCAACGCCCAACATGATTGTTGTGCTACAGGAGCTCAGTATTTCTCTACACTGACGTGTCGACAAGGCTGATCTCATCAGACTTTTAAAATACTAAACAAGTTGGAGGGTTTTAATCCAGATCACTTTTTATTAAAAGGTTAAATGTAACTCATACAAGGGGCAACAGCTTCAACCTCAACAAGTCACAATGTAGGACAGAAAACAGGAGCTGCTTTTTCACCCACAGGGTTATAAACCCGTGGAACCGCCTACCAGACGAACTCATTAATACCAAGACTACCGGAGTTCAAAATCGAGATAGAAAAATCCCAAGGAACAACGGGGGGGGGGGGTTACCATACCTTGCTATGATTTCGGGGTTCAACGTCCCTGCGGCCCGGTCCTCGACCAGGCCTTCTCTTAACTTGACTTGGGATGACTTAACAATCCGCCGGCTTCCTGATCCCATTGGGAATGCTAAAGATATTGGCCTTCGACTAAATTTAGGCAACTATATAAATTCTACAATTACGCAAAGATTTTTATATAGAAAGATTGATCTATGAGTTATCTGGCATCGGCGACAAAAGCCTAATAGCTTGCGTGTAACACCATGTTAAGGTTATAGACGGGACACCACGAGCGTAGCTCTCATCCTGTAACTACACTTAGGTAATTACACACCTCAGGGCCCCTGGTGGCTGAGTATACAGCACTCAGGACTCGTAATCCTGGGGACCGGGGTTCGATCCCCGGTGATGGCGGAAAACAAATGGGCAGTTTCTTTCACCCTGATGCCCCTGTTACTTTGCAGTAAATAGGTACCTGGGAGTTAGACAGCTGTTACGGGTTGCTTCCTGTGTGTGTGTGTGTGGGGAAAAAAATGATCGTTGATTGATTGACAGTTGAGAGGCGGGCCGAAAGAGCCGAGCTCAACCCCCGCAAGCACAACTAGGTGAATACACACACCCACACAACTGGGAAATTGAATAACTTAAACAAACAGGTTGTAGAAGGCAACTTCATTAATAATTTGGAGAGGTTATCATAAAAGATAGGCGGGAGTCATTGCATTAGCCAACCGGCAGCTGAAAAGCTGGGGCCCAAGAGATGAAGTTCGATCCTGCAAGCATAAATAGGTGAGGATACATATCTTTACCTACCCCGTCTTTGATCACATATACCTCCCATTATGCTAGCTAGCACAATAGCACACTCTTCCTGCCATCCCCCGAAGGCAGAAGCCTCACTAAACGTAAACAGACGGCATATATGCTGTTTTGTCCCTACAGTAATGCACAGGCTGCCTCTCGCCTCCCTCGTGGCCTGTCTGATGCTTCTCCCAGTGTTTACACTCTCTATTAGTATCATATTTCTGCCCAATCTTCGCATGACAACCAAATGAGAGTAAATTAACACATTAGATTGCCCTCAGCCACTTCAGTTGCTTGTATATTTTATGTAAATTACATTAACACACAGCAGGGCCAAATTTAATGTGGAGGTCACGACACTTAAGATATTCCAGACAGACTGCTGGCACCTTTCACTTCCGCCTGCACTTGCATAGGTTGGTCTTCAGCTCTTGGGACTGTATATGTGAGTTACCGTTGTATCTACGA